GCGGCTCATAGTAATTTTGGAATGTGCAGAGAGAAACAGAAGAAGCACTGGAAATGGTGCTCAATGAAAAACATACTTTTTTTTGCCTACACTGCTAAGACCGGGACCCTCACCACCCTTGGCCTTGCTCGCGGCCTGCTGTTCGTGATGAAAATGACAGGGCCACGACACCTCTGACACTTCCTCTCCTATCCGCTTTCCCTTTCCAAAGACACTGCGCCATGCTCCCAACTGAGCTGCAGAAATATAGTAGCCGTCTTTGTCTTCTCCACCCACCACGCATTGTCCTGCACGTCTGCGGCCGAGGTCCGACATAGAAGTGTATTCGATCGTGCATGCACAGCGCATTTTCGATAAACTCGTCGATAAAAGCAAACCAGTTGCGCGAAACAGGGGTGGAAGTGGACTTCAGTCTCTTGGAGCGCCTCATACAGCAGGAATAATGCTCTTATGAATCAGCTTTGAAGCATGAAAGGGTGCGTTTGGGAGCAACTAAGTTAGTTTTTGGAATATGTTTCTGAGTTCAGACATTATTGGTATTTCAATTATTTTTATTTCAGGGACCCCATTTTCAAGTGGTTTTTAGTTAATAGTCAATGCTGATGAATCAACCACTTCTAAAAATACCGATTATAACAACATATCCGTTATAGGAATGAAATGCTGATGCACCATGAACATTTGTATGTTTTCTATTGCGCGATAACCCACTTAGAGCAAGGCCCGCATGCCGCATTATCGTTAACAACAATGAATTCTGGCTGTTCGCTGTCTGTGCCAAAAACTAATGGAAGACGATATCCTTGAAAAGAAAATGAAATACGAGAAATTCAAGCTGCTGAACTTTTGCCCACAGCCCGCATCTTTCAGCGCCCTTTCAAATTTGCTGTATGCCTCCCCGCACAATGTTTTGGCATGGCGGAAATGCCAATGTTCAAAATACGGGGCCCGCATGCGGCATTTTGGAGAGCCAATTTGAATAAAAAATTGAGATTCCGAAGAGTTTCAGCGTCCAAGACTTCAGATGTTACCATACATTGGCCCTATAGGGCTTGTAATGGTCCCGTAAACTCTGCCATTAATGCATAGCGCAGTTCATCGATAGATACTGTACGATACGTCCCATCCATTCCCAGTGTCACCTTACATCACCTTACTAAACTAAGCAGTTGCCCAGCAAATCGGTTGTGCTGCGTCCACGGCATGGATCAACCTGGAACACAAGAACTTATTATACGAACATGTGAACTTATTATGCGGAAAATTATCGGTCAGCTGACAGCTCGCAATACGTTCACGTGCTACGTGACGCCAAACAGGCTGATGAAGAGTGTTCCGCACTTGCCGCCGTGGCTGCTGGTGGCACTGGCTAAAACTACCACGTTTAAATCCACATCTAAATACCCAATAAAGTGAATGGAGGGACGACCGCCGTGGTAGCTCAGTTGGTGGAGCGTCGAACGCGTTATTCGAAGGTCGCAGGTTCGGTTCCCGCACAGGGCAATTTATATTTCCATTCGCTTTTCTTTCTTAACATTCCCTCCACTACGGCGTCTCTCATAAATATACGGTGGTTTTGGGACGTTAAACGCCACATATCAATCAACCAAACCTTCTCGAGGAGCGATGGCTAAGCGGTCTTATTAGCTCAAGTCTATAAACGACCAACTGTGGGCAATCCAGCGGGCCCGGACAGCGGTGAAAAGGCTGCGCCTCACCACACATAATGTCCGAGTAGCCTGAGCCGACAACCTTGCAAGTATTTATTTAATAAAAGTTTCTTTCCGTCCATCCGTTCATCCGAACGTCGCGAGGTGCAGTTCTCTTCACTTATTGTTATATTATTATAACATTCACAACCATCATTATGACCTACAACAAGTGAACACGGAGCAATCTAGACTGCGCGACCTGTCACGCAGGAAGCTAAAGCTCCAGAAGGACCGTGATAAATTTAGAGTGATTACATAATGTTACGAGCGGCATGCGGGTGTTCTTTTTTTTACTTTTACTCAGCGCGTGGCTTGTAGCTCTTCGCTCGAAGTTCAATGAAGTGAAACAAAACTTCAAAGTTTCCGAATGCCCTTCGAAACAAAAATTAAGGCAGCTTCGCCCTAGTGATGTCAAGCCTGAAATTGCAGTGCAGGGCAGCCTTCCTTGTTTCTCTTTGGTTTTCTTTTTCTTTCCGCATCTTTTTCTCTATCTCACTGTTTCTTTTTTGTCTTTTTTCGCTCCTTATTTCTATTAATTTCCTCTCTCTTTATCTGTTTCTTCCTTTGGCTTTTTCTATTTTTTTTCTTCCAATTTACTCCTTTCTTTCTTTTTTTTCAGTTTTGCGTTCGCTTCCTTTCTTTATATATGTATGCGTGGATTTGCCTGCGTTACGACAAGCGACTACAGCATACGACCACCCGGATCCCTAATGTGATCCGCACTTATCACCATCAAGGCGCCCAAAGAACAACAGGAAGACGACCTCTCCTTGGCGCGTGCTAGCGCATGCAGCATATGCCACACATACGCCAGGCGACGACGCCAGCATACAACATAGCGGCCGCCTGAAGAGATCGCACTTCAATTTGCCAACGTCCTGTCGCTGTATTCATAGGCAACCGTTGCATAACGACACTCACAAAACAACACCATCATAAACAAGCAACCACGATTTTCGTTATGCCCTCTTAAGAAAACAGGTATTCCCTGTTAAGGTCTGCTATTTTATATGTAACCCTCCTATCGATGCACAGATAACGGGTGCTCACAGAGCGACGACTAAACAAGCGATAGGAAACGTTGGTGAGGACAGCAGAGTGTGATGGCTTGTTTAACTTGAGAAGTTTGCAAGCCAAAATGGAGTAAGCTATGACCGGACAGGGAAAATGGGACAGTGGACAAGCAGACGTCAAATAGGCTCACAAAAAACGATCATGATAATAACATAATCACACCCGCGTTTACTGCCAGTTATGTAGTGACGTTGTTGACTCACCGATTTCGTCCACGCGTCCATGTGCCTCAAGCAGTGACTACAGCGAGCGTCAACACTCCGAAGCCGGTGGCATGCGGCACTGCAGGCTCTGCGAGCAGACCGTCACGGACTTCTCGGAAACCTCTGTCTCACGTGGTACAGCCCGCGTCGCCTGGTCGCAGTGAAAGGTGTGGATAAAGGCGGACAGGAAAGAGAAGCGCCGGAACAGTGCCCCCTCTCCCTTTAAGACGAGCTGACAATCGAACCGAGTACCTCACGAAGCGAGACGGACGCGTCTGCCTCTTCGGTGCCACTTCTGTTCGTTCTGGTCTGGACGCTAGCAAACTAATAGGGGTCGTACGGAAGCAACAGCGCCGATAAGCATGAAGTTGGCATGACAGACAGGAAAAAGCAAAAAAAAATAAAGGAAACAGAAAGAAGTCAGCAGTGGCGTGCAGTCGCTCTGCGATTAGGGCTGCTCAGTGAGGACCCGGCTGTTCTCGGGCCTCAGCTGGGTTCAGGAAGTCTTCGAAGAAGAGGCGATACGAGTCACCACTTGTCTCTGTGTCGTCGTTTTGTTCTCACGCTATAGCTTGTCCTAAGTTCTGACTTGACGTTTTCAGCTTTTCTTTTCTTAAGTTTTTTTTTTCGAACGTTTGGTTTCAGTGCGATGTTCTGTCTGTGTACAGTTTAGGCATGCGTGTAATGTTTGTGACTGTCTTTAGTTCAACTCTAGCCTTTTAGAGCTAAGCATCTACTTAAAAACAACCTATCATCACCCATATCTAAAGCTTAGCAGCAGCATACATCTAGCTACGGTCTATAAAAAGAACCGAGAAGCAACTAGATTAGCCTTTAGACTCGCCCAGTTTCGCTGTTTGATGCCTTGCACGGCTTAGGACAAGCATAGCCAGATTTTTTTTTTTTTTGCTGTTTGAAAGAAATATTATACAATATTACATTAATTAGGGATTTGTCAAGAAAACCTTCCTGATTCAACTACTCTAAACACGCGTTGCTCAGCTCGGACCTAAAGCGTTAGTTACCTCGGGTCCGACCAGAGAACCCGGGAAAGCTGCAACAACCAACGCATAGCCGAAGTCAAGGTGGAGATCAGGCCTATCCGACCAATTCGAAATACACTTGAAAAAATTGTTTATTCTGATCTGATATGCACCCTCATGCACATTACAATCTCCCTATGAGTGAAACTATTTACCCACTTAGCCTGGGGCATATCCCCATTGTAGCAAAGAGAAGTACAGCACTTCGAATCATGTATTCGATTGATCCGGTGTATCTCGCAGTACATGACCAAAATAATACCTCGCAATTTTGCGACAATCGTGAATAACGGGGCAAGTACCTTTCGATGAACGTTACTGGATGTGGAAGAATCTGTTTAACAATTATATCGTTGTTAAATAAAACTTGTAGCTAGGTGAGTCGGTTCGTAGTTCCAATTGAAACTGGTATGTGCAAAATGACAAGCAGGAACACAGGAATACTAGTCCGCGCTCATCCGTGTTCGTTTCCTTTTTCGCTTTTTGTCATTTTGCGCATGCTACTTTAAATAAAAAAATATGTTGTGTACCGATTAGAATTTGTTACAAACAAACCATCAACAGTAGAAGTAAAATTACAGTTTGGAACCTGACCAGATTCCAGGCTCTAATTCGGCCAGTCTGGAATCTGACAATATTCCAGACTGGCCGATACGTGGGTATATAGTTAAACAAAATACTTTGATTTGGTTAGCTTACGTCTTTTAAAAAATGAAAGAGCTCAGAAAAGAATTAAGTATTAGGAATTTACAAATGGAAACTACGGATATAGAAAATGAAGCAGATGATTTCAACCACAACAAAAAATGAAACAAAAATGCTTTCGCCAACCTCGCGCGACGACTCGCGCGCTGCTCGTGCCAGCTCAAAAGAAGACCGATCGCGAGCAAAGACAGATCGTCCTTGACAGAGTCCTCGCTATTCCGACAGACCCGAGGCTTCAGCCACGGGCAAAACTCGTCCGAGGAATGGTACACCTACCAGGTAAGCGTGACGCAGCCTGGTACCTATACCTCGAGTTCCTGTGCTGCAAGAAAGCTCTTCGACATATAATTTAACGTTTCGTCCGCCTCAGGGTGCTACTGAGCACGGTCGTGGATCCCATTCCGGCCGTGGCGGTTGCATTTTGATGTAGAAAGGAAATGCTAGAGGCTCGTGCGATATCAACGTAAATGTTGGATGATCGAATTTTCTGCAGCCACGGCGCGCCTCACGATCATTACGCTCGTTTTGGCCCGTAATACCCTGGATATTATTGCCAATCTGACGCTGCGCCATTTTCACGCAACCACAACTAACTCCAAATAACTTCACTGGGCCGAATGAAATGAAGACAAAAGAAAAGGCATGACAGGACTCGTAATTCTTTTTTGTAGTCTCTTATATAATTCGCCGCGTAATTGACAGTCTCTAACGAACTTGCTCAGGCTTCTTAACGATCGCTCTAACGATCTTTTGGCAATAAGCATATTTAGCACATCGCTTCGGTGTAACCAAGGAGTTATCGATACCATTTGAGCTAGTTTTGCCATATTTAAACAAAAAGGCGAAGTCGTGTCTGCTCTTGAAGTGGCGTCTCTTATTTCTTTACATTCTTTAGAAAATATGCAAGCACTATATATGAGCAGTGCTGATATGCTATGTGACGACAAATTAAGCCAGGCTCAAGCGGTGCGTATCTGTGCCATCGATGCAAGCTGCTTTAGCTTCCGTAAAGAAATGGTGCGCCCGGTGTACACACACGCTCACATACATACACACTGAGGCACAGAGTTGCTAGCCTTGATGATTTGAATAATAGCCTTGATGATTTGGGAGTCGCAAGTTATAATAATGAGTAAGTTTCATACATTTAAAAAGCGTTACGTTTTTCTTTTTGCCCACGATTTGTTGGCTTGGCCCCCAAAAATGTTCTTGATTGGCTTTTTTGTAATGTGCTCTTACATAAATTTCCTACATTCATTTACGTTTTTCATTGACTTTTTGATTTGTCAGGGTGGTTCGGGCTACCCCACGTTATTTTTATTTGCTTTTCTATCTGGGTCACTGTGTGTGTATGCGTGCGCGCATACACTTACACAAAAGGAAATGCCAGTAAGCTCCTTTTATTGGAACAGGCCAGTTGCAGTCGTGTGACATGCTCTCTGTGATGCGATGCCGCAGGCGGCGCCATGAAGGCATTCACGCAGCTGTACTCCATCGTGTGGAAAGACGTGTACGTTCAGACGATCAAGCGCCACTACCTCACCACCATCTTCGAGGTGGGCATGATCATACTCGCGTTCCTGGGTGTGGAGAACGACCGTCCACTGCCTGCGCCGCCGGCCTTGTGTGCCAAGCCGCCCTGCCTGAGACTCCGTGCACCCCGTGACTACGCCGAACGCAACGAGAGCGACTTCAGAACGCCACAGCTGGCAAGCGAAGCTTCATGTATACGTAGCTGGCTTGCCTACCCTTTGAGAAAATAATAGTGCATTCCACTCACGTATTCGCAAACGAAGTCTGCGCCGGAACCGAAGGAAATCTTCCAATGGAACTTGGGCTTGAAATTTCTTGACTTGTGTTGACTTGATAAATATACGAAAATGTTGCAAACCCTCTTTAGAAGTAACCATATGCTCCGATATAATTTGTCTGCTGGGTGCCAGCCCAGTTTTCTACCACTGAGCTATACGCCAGTGCTTGTGACTTGTTGGCAAACCTATAGCACCAAAGACACAGTGGGGCTTGAACCCGGGTCAGCTGGGTGTCAGCCCAGCATTCTACCACTGAACTACGCTGGTGCGAGTGACTTGTTGGCAAACTTGCCTTCGGCAGGCTTGATGTCGGGAAAGCAATCGTGTTATACGACTTATTAAGCGTTTTAAAACAGCGAAAGAACAACCAGTCGTCGCACAATGTGAATAGCGTAACGAGTGGGCCGTCCGATGCCCCAACCTATTACAAAAGCTTGTTCTTGTTCCCCTATTAGGTGTGGTGCATACCCACTTCAGCCATGATTCCTCATCGTCATCAACAACTGCATAAACAATTGGCACATAATTCCTTGCAAGTGTTTAGCGGATACCACGATTCTCAGCCGAATGACGAAAAATAGCATAGCGGATGCCAGTCTACCACACATGATGTTTTATTATTAATCCCGTAGTGGGTATCAAGCAAGTGTGCTTGCCTCAGTTATCCAATGAGTATTTAGAAAAGGCTTTGGAAGGCGGCTCTTCTAGCTATCACTGTAACTGTGCTGCGCCTTCCAGGCCTGGAGTATTTTTTCTTTGTTCTTTTGCAGTACACTTCTAACCTTTCACATCAATCATCACAAAATCCACCCAAGTCATTTCATAAGTGGCAGCGTTGTCAATTAACACTATACTTTGTCATAATTCTCGGCAGCAGATTGAAGAACAAGTACACTATTTATTTATTTATTTATTTATTTATTTATTTATTTATTTATTTATTTATTTATTTATTTATTTATTTATTGAACACCTTATTTCGCAGATCCTCTACGCTCCGCGAGCACCCAACAAAGAGCTGGTCGAGACCGCCTTTCCCGCAGGCGGCCGGGTCAAAACGCACGGCTATGACACTGAGCGGGAGCTTCTGCGTGTATTCTACCGTGTCAGCCCGATACCACAGCGGGGACCAGAGCAGCGCATCATCGCGCTGGTCTTCGGCAACACCAACGACACGCGGAAGAACGACCTCGAGTTCACCATTCGCTTTTTCGACGACCCCGACTACATCACGCGGCGCATCAAGGTGTTCGCTCTGTTCGGCGCGCTGCCTGACCCGGTGACACAGCGCGAGAGCGTGGCCTACTGCCAGATCGCCCTCGTGCGCGCGAAGACCCAACTGATCCGGCAGGCCACCGTTGGGAAGAAGGCCGCTGCTCGGCGCGAGTACACAATGACTACGAGACGCTTCAGCGAGGGCCCTCTGCCGGAGGACTCGACGAGCATGCTGTGGATCATGGCGGTGCGCATCGGCATCGGCTTCTTGGTCACCTTCTGCACGCTCGTCGGCCGGCTCGTCGAGGAAACCCAGAGTGGAATGCGCGAGAAGCTGCGGCTCTCCGGGCTGCTCGACACCATTTACTGGCAGGGACACCTTATGGCCGCCATGTTCAAGGGCCTCGTCAGCATCGCCTGCATCATGGGCTACATGACGACCGTCGCGGCGGACAAGAACGGGCGGGTGGACACTTTTCTCGAGGGCACCGACAAGACGGTGACCTTCGTGTCGCTGGTGCTGTACAACTTTCAGTACGCCACCACGGCCATGGTGATGTCGCTGTTCTTCACCAACAACACGGCGGCCATCTTATTCGCCATGTGCTACTGGATTACGGCGTACGCCGCGCCCTGGCTGGCGCTGGAAGACTTTGACGGTCTATCCGCGCACTACATTATGCTCTCTCGCACAACCAAGCTCGCGAGTTCGCTCCTGCCGTGCATGGCGCTGCACTGGTGCTTCCGCATTATTGGATGCGCCGACGTAGTCGGTAAGGAGCCTCGAGTATGACACGAACATCACCCGAAAATTGTTACCAATTTTTATACACCACAAAAACTACTTCGGTCGACAAGTTAACGCATCGCAGTACCGCGTGCACTTCCGTTTTGCCTTGCTAATACCGCGTTCCGTGTTCTTTATATAGTGTGCTGTGTGCTGAACTTGATAGCGTGTTCTGGGCTAAGTACATATCTTCAGAACGAGGGCGTAGTCAGTTTTGTTTCGAAAAGAGGGGGTGGGGGGAAGCACCCCAATAATCTTAAGAGGGGCGACGCAGGCAGATGTGGTCGAATGCAATTTTTGGTTCTCTGCGCCATGAAAATGTCAGGAGTGGCAGGAGGAGCATGAGCTCTGTGCTCCATCCTATGGCTACGCCACTGCTTCAGAATTTAACAAAACGCGTCTAATAAGTTGCAATTGCAGGCTATAGCCCAAGCTATTGTATATTATTCACTGCACGACATACCTACCAATAAATACTACATATTTCTGAAGGATGCGCCTGAATTATACATTTCGCCCACAAGTTCATTCCGTTACCGTTTACAGTAACAGGCAGTCCGCGTAACGTTAATGTGTACTGTAGTGGCGTAGCCAGGGACTCCCCCCCCCCTTTTTTTTCATGCAATATCGAGCACAAAATGACACTCGAACATATCTGCGTGCCCTGTCGCCCCTTCAAATCAAAGTGGTCCCCCCCCCCCCGAAAAATATTTCTACCTACGACCCTAATCCACTGGTTCTATACTGTGGTATGTTTGCACACGATTTATGAGAAACATTGGTTTATACTCCTGACCAGGTGAACGGTACAGACTGTCATCCGTCCACGAGTACGTGCTCCAGCTGGACAATGTGACTATGCTGGACATTTGGACGGTTATGCTCGCGTACAGCGCATTTAATTGCCTCGCTATCTGGTACCTCGGCAACGTGCTGTCATGGGCCCGTGGTACGCCGTTGCGTCTCTGGTTCCCCATCTCCCCATCATACTGGCTTCCCAGTCGCCAGGGCGCCTTCCAGAAAATAGCCCCGGTCACTCCGGATGGCTTGCACTTCGAGCCCTACCCATTAGACAAGCAAGAGATGGTATTTGTCAACAGGTAACCGTTCTGGCACAGCATGGCGGGGCATGTATACCACAAGATATAGCACAAGATAACCACTGTTATGAATAACCCCAACTGGGTTTCGAGAAATGGCTAGCGCACGAGTTGCGGGGGGGGGGGGGGGGAATGCAGAAAGCTTTAGAGGTGGGCAGACGAAATTCAGAAATTTGCGGGTATAACGTGGTCACATCAATAACAGGACCAGATCAATTGGTGAAACATGGAAGATGGCTTAGCCCCGTAGTGGGCGTAACGTAGCTGAAGATGATGACAGTTCTGGCTAGTGAGCAGACTCGTATACGCACCCGGTCACATGTTGTGGATTGTAAATCGCTCAGTATTTATTCATTTATTGACTACTTCTTTCCTTATTCATGGTCACTGTAACACAATTTTCTTCCTATACTAGATTACGCTATTTATCGATCACTTCTTTACTTAGTACCTATCGCTGTAACTTCATTCTTCTTCCTACATGTAACGGATTACACGTGAGCATTACTTTGCCACATTTAGCATTCGCATTTGGCGCGAACAAAAAATTATCTGTCGTGTACATAGACAGGTCATATGCTGTCTGCTTCGTCAACGCTGTATTCTGCATCTCGCCATAGTTACGCTTTCCCTTTTAGGGGCGAAGCTCTTTATGGCGTGGCTTGTGCGTCCCTCGTAGAACGTAACCTACAGTGGCACATACCCGAAATAGCGGTCCTTACGATTTTGACCTCCAAGGTGGTTCCGGTGAGAGATTTCTTCTGTGCGTTGTTGAACAATAAAAGATAGTGTTCAATGCACATGTTAATGGCTGCTAAGGGGGACTGAGAGACAGGAGCATTCGGCCTTTAGGTAACGCGCACGCTGCGATCCCCATTTGCAGCTATTGGCGTGTACATTGAGCACGATCTGACAAGAAAGGGTTGCTACGTTATGCTCGCTGGGTGTAACCTCCTTGGTTTTAGAAAGGTTTAGCGAGCGTTGGGCCGCATAGCCATGAATACAGTGAACTAGTATATATCATGAACTCGAGGTGGTTAAAGGTGGGAAGTAAACCCGAAGCGCAAGCCGTAAAAAAGTGTGCATGTGCCACCTCCCGTTTAGTCATTGAAATGTCCGCTGGATGGCGGTGCTTCTATATGGAGAATATATGATGAAAAGATGCGAGATGGTGGTATTGGAGTGCTGAATAGATGGACGAACAGACACACAGACAGATGCATGGATGGACGCATGAACGGACGCAGGCGTGGATGCATGGATGAACACAGGGACGGACGCACGAACAGACGCACGCACGGACGGGTGGATGGACGCATGGACGGTTACACAGACGTACGCAGGAACGGACGGAAGCAAGAACGAATGGACGGACGAATGCGTTGCCCCACTCCCCATCATTCACTTCGTGGATATGCTGACAATTTTTTTCTATCGATGAGTACCAGGCACTAGCCGCCTGTGGTGTCGCATTTGCTTCAAATAGTGAATTTGTTATAATTCGGCTATAGAGCACACAGACGACGCTATATAGAGGTCATGAAAAGCGCCGATTGATCGAGTAGTCTGCTGCGGTGGAGCAGAGCTTAGCTGCTTATAACTTAAGTAGGGCCCGAAAGTCGCAGGTTTGATCTTGGCCATGGAGCTCACATTTCACTGGAGGCTTTTGTACTGTGCCATGTTGGTGCACTTCAATAAACCCCAGGAGACCGACATTTCTAAAGTCGTCCTTTACACCATCTTTCATAACTATATCGTGGTTTTGAAGGTAAAAACAAAGATATGAGTCCTATATAATAATAGTATGACTAGATCAAGCAAACGCATGATACACGCATCGGCCAAATGCGGAAGGCATTCCGCCGGCCTCAAAAACTGCTATCTCACATTTAAAACTCTTACCCAGGGGTAGTTCGAATAGAGAAGCGATGATTAGCTGGAAGTTGCGTAAGTATATACTTGATTTCATTGCGTGACTTTGTAAGGAAAAAATGGCAGCATATCCACGGGGTGAATGATGGAGAGTGGGGCGAAGCAACCATGCGTCCATTCGTTTTTGCTTCCGTCCGTCCACGCGTCCGTCTGTGTGACCGTCCGTGCGTCCACACGTCCATCCATGCGTCCATCCCTGCGTTTGTCCATGCATCCACCTTTGCGTCTGTTCATGCGTCCATCCGTCCATGCAGCCATCCATGCGTCCGTCCATGCATCTGTCTGTGTGTCCGTTCGTCCATCTAGTCAACACGCCAAGTACCTCCATCTCGCATCTTTTTATCATATATTCCCCATATAGAAGCACCGCCATCCAGCAGACATTCCAAGGACTAAACGAGAGGTGGCACACACACACTTTCTTACGGCTTGCGCTTCGTGTCTACTTCCCACCTTTAACCACCTCGAGCTCATGGTATTTATTTATTTATTTATTTATTTATTTATTTATTTACAGTACCTTACAGAGCCCTTGAGGGGCATTGTGTTAAGGGGGCAGTACAGATAATATGTTAGAAAAATATATATACATATATATCTACACATACATAGGCAAATATTGAATATAATAGAAAATGCAGTTCAACCTATGAACATGTAAGCAAAATACATACTGGAAAAGTGAGTTACAGTATGTGAAGGTGAAATACAAAAAAAATATTATGACAGTAACTACAACCTAGCAATAGCGCAAAAACATCGGCAACAGTCCTATAAACACTGATGATTACGAAGATGCGACAGAGCAATTTCTGGTGCATAAGTATTTTTTAAGAGTATGATAGAACTTTGTGTGGTCTTGTTCTGACGCAAGATCATCTGGCAAATCATTCCACAAACGAATAGCTCGTAGAAAAGCCGACAGGTGGAAAGCGTGAGTATTGCCATTAGTATATACTAGTTCACTGTATTCATGGCACTGCGGCCCAACGCTCGCTAAACCTTTCTAAAAGCAAAGAGGTTACGCCCAGCGAGAATAACGTAGCAATCCTTTCTTGTCAGATAGCGCTTAATGTACATGCCAATGGCTGCTAATGGGGAATGAGAGACAGGAGAATCCGGCTTTTAGTTAGCGCACACGCTGCGAATTTTTCATTGTTCAACAACCGGCACAGGAGAAATCTGCCACCGGCACCACCTTGCAGGTGAAAGCGTAAGATATGTTAAGCACTTACTATACGAGGGACGAATGGGTGCCGCTTTAAGAAGCTTTGCCCCTAAAAAAAACAAAAACACGTAAACTACCACTGTCGCCACACCTGGCTCGTGCGCGGGCACGAGAAAGTAGTTTGGCTTGGCAGGCTTCATGAAAGAAGTGCGTTGCTCGAAGGGGCCCTTGCCTGCGCAATGCTGGCGGACTCCTCAATTTTCCGTCTTTTTTTAGGCACAAGTTCACCCACAATAAGCATATTTCTACGTTTCCCTTCTTTCAGTAAATTTCAAATCTAGCGTCTATTTCGGTAACGAAAGCAGCTTATGGCGACACGTTTTCTGTTTTAACAGGCTAGAATACGAGCAACAGCACACTAACGTGCTCCACGACACCAGCTTCAAGGCGTACTTCAACGAGGTGCTTGTGGTGGTAGGCCCCAGCGGATCGGGCAAATCTTCGCTTGTGAGGATCGTCACCGGCATGCAAAAGCCCAGCGGCGGCCAAGTCATCGTCGGGGGCTTCGACGTGGCCAGCCAAACCGCGAGTGCACGCGCCCGCATGGGCGTCGTGCTCCAGAGTTCTGTGCTCTTCGACGACATGACGGCTTTCGAGCACCTGCTGTTTTTTGGCGGTCTCGCAGGTATGATCGGTCAGCCGCTGGTTCGACGAGCCACGCAAGTTGCAGACATGCTGCAACTGACCGAGCGCTCCTCCGAGCTCACAGTCAACCTGGACCGAACGTCCAAGAGGCGACTCGACCTGGCCATTGCCATACTTTCGAAACCGAGGTGCGCTGCAGTGTTTGAATAAGACTATATATCGCCTGTACTGTTCACGCGCCTGTTCCCTCTGTGTTTGTTCAACCGCACTTGTTCATGGTTGAGCGTTTTATGTGGTACGAAATATTTTGTGATTTTTGAACTCTTCATGGTGTTTAGGTGATTTTTGTTATAGTCAAAATATTTTAAATAAGAGCAAATTTATTAAACTTCATTCTTTTCTGATTTGAGAGCACGTGAGCTTTTCTCATTCAAAATGTCGTCTCTCTCTCTTTCTATATATATATATATATATATATATATATATATATATATATATATATATATATATATATACTGTTCTTCAGATGCATTTGGGGAGTGGCGCCATTATGGTTTAAAGCGTATAATTAGGTTTGACAGCAAGGAAAATGCTAAGTTTGCGAACCATGGTCTTGGCAATATGCTATTACTACGAACGTCATCATCATCATCATCAGCCTGACTACGTCCAGTGCAGGACAAAGGCCTCTCCCATGTTACGCCATCGTGTATATCGATTATTCTTTGTCGACAGGGTGCTCATACTTGACGAGCCCGTGTACGGCATGAACATACCTTCCCGCTACAAAGTGTGGGAAGTGTTGAAGAACGTCAAGCATACTACGTGCATCGTGATGACGTCATCGGATGTCGACGACGTAGACATGCTGGGCGACCGAGTCGCCATGCTGGGCCATGGCGGGTTGAAGTGCTTCGGCACGCCCGCTTTTCTGCGCTGGCGTTATGGCTGCGGCTACAACTTGCACGTCATCAAGGCGCCCAACTTTCAGACCAGCCGTCTCGTCCTCGCCCTCAAGGAGGCGTCCAAGGACGCCCGCCTGATTCAGGCAAGGAATATTCCATGCGCCCGTCAAGTCGTCCGGGTTCGCAGCAGTTATATGCAGTAACACTTATATGGACAGGCTCGACAGGTTTTTGCCATCACTGTTGCCATCATGCCCAAATTGATAACATCCCCAGCACACCGTACATTCTACCCGCGGATAATAGCGTGAGAGCGGGGGGCAACGAACGCGGATGAATAAGAAATCAAATTATTCCGATCATCGCATGCGCTAATCTCCGTCGTGGCGCATGCGATAAGATCCTTCCGCCTGTTAGACCGGCCGTCGAATGCTCAAGCAGAAAGGAAACGCTCCGCCCGTATTCAACGGACATTGAAAGAAGCAATATTTCCACTATAGAAGCAAAAAAAAAATGGGAAGGGGGGTTGCTCGAGCCACAACTGTGATCTTTGACTTGACATGCGTGGTCACCCATCCCTGGCGCGCGCGCCATCTCGCTATCTCGGCAGGCACCAGCGGGCGGCTCGTATACCCTTCTACGTGCAGGTGCCCTCCACGAAAAAACTGCGCGAAAAGTGTCACGGGAGCAGCCGTATACTATTTTACGCGTGTTTGTAGAGTTGCATGCGATCGAATCCAAAAGAGCTATAGCCAAAGCCTCACTTCGTGTAACTTCATGTTGCTATCACGTTTGCTGCTTGGCCCTATAATTGCGTTGAAACTGACTTTTTTGATGCGCGCGCTTATAGCGCTAATATGGTTGAGCAATAAACTTGTACGAGGTAGGCTCCATTTCGACAAGCGTACTTGTTTTGGGAAGAATAAAGACAAGTCACCTTGTTACATAACGTGAGCTGCAGATATCGGCACTCCTTGGTCTCCTTGCACTACCTCAATGATTACAATAAATGGGAAATTAGATGAGGGATGGACTCAGTGAAAATAGCGATTGAATTGGCAAGGTGGCAAGTTAAAAAAAATCTTACAACTTCTTTACACCGCAAAAGCGAGAAAATGACTATATGATGAGGGCGATGTAATTAGTGTGTTCCATTAACGGGACGCCTGTGCAAGAGGGCGTTGATATGTAGGGGCGGGAACGTAGTGGCGCATAGAATTAGAATGGGAAGGTGTGGTTCGTTGGGCGAGTTGAGCTCACATTTTGTAAATGGGAGAAACATCGCAAGCATGACGGTTATCAAGTGAAGAGCTGGGCACAGGAGCATTGCATGAAGGAAATGCAATGATTGCGGAGTTCGCTGGACTATTCCAGGGGTCTTAAACACGTGGCCTGCGAAAATTTTGCCAGTGGCCCACGGCATTGCAATTGGGGGTGCTCGCACCATTTACTTGCCTGTTGCTGCAATTAAAAACTACAGACACGAGTCTGGTCTCAAGGCATTTTTTCTTGAGGTTACTATATGCGTCCATCAGTCAATACGCTTTCATATTCGCGAAAACAAAAATTTATTTTTCCCAGGGATCGTTCAGACTTGAGTCACACGTTCTGGAAATCAGCACCGACATACATGTTTCTCGATTCAATCCTGACGCCAAATCTCCTTCTGGAATTATATATGTGTAGACGTGGAAAATGCGCCTAGGTGCGCGCACGGGAAACACGACTTGCCCTCGACAGTTCGGTAGGGAGGAGGAACGCTGAGACGAATTAAGTTTCGCCACCCTCCCTCCATCCTGAAGAGGATCCCTGTGCACGCCCATGGAAAAGCATAAACTGGCAGTTTCAGGTGACATCTTGTTTACCTCCTCCTCTCCACTTTGACAAACTTTTTCTCGTACGCTGCAGAACTAAATTCGCTGATTGTGGCCCACTATAGCTGAAGCAAGTTTACAAGTTTGAGACCCCTGCTAATGCTTGAGAAAAGCCCGCCTGGCTAAGCTTTTGTCTCTTATATATCTGCAGGATCACAGGCGTTCTGCGATCATAAATCTGGGCGAAGAGGGAGCCTACGCCCCTGTGTCGGAGGCACTGCGGATCGTCGAGAACCGGAGGGCCGAATACGCCGTCGAGTCGTTCAAGGTGTGCGTCATAACCATCGCGGACGTCTTCCTGCGGGTCATCATGGAGGTGGACTTCGGCAGCCTCGAGAGCAAGCGGCGCGCAGCCGCGTTGAACCGGAACCGCGGAGGCGCCAACAAGCAGCAGCACATGTCCTCTGCGGGCACGCAGATGGAGCACAGCGAGGGCGACATGGTGATGGCCACTGCGGACGTCGGAGGCATCACGCAGCAGCAGTCGGAGGCGTACGAGTCGTCGGTGCAGATCGAGCAGCACGTGCACGCGCTGTACGACATGGCGGCGGGTGAGCCCCGGACCACCCAGATCTTCTTCGCCATGTTGTTCAAGAGGCAGCACTACATGCGCCAGACGCTGTCCACGCCACTCGCCTGCTGGCTCCTGCCTTCGTTCATAATGTTCCTCGTGTGCCGTTTCGAGGCCAGCACGCAAGAACCGCAGTACCTGCACTTCGCGGCCGACCGTCTCGTGTACGACCTCGGGCAGCTGCAGCCGCGCACGGACGTGCTACTTGCACGGGACAGCGCATCCTCCAAGGTATTGCGCCTAAAGTCCTACATGTCTTCAACACTGAAAGTGGTATTTGGCACAAAAGCCATGTGATGACGTACCCTTACGACGTCGTCGTAACGTCCCAAATAGCTCAAATTTATGACGCCATCACATGAAATCGTCCGATTGGTAATAGCGGGCCGATCACGTTATCTTCAGAATGCTTGCAATGCCTCTAGTCCCAAATAATCCCGGAAGTGGTGCGAAACCACGCTATGTGGAAAAAAAACTTATTCGAATAAGAAAAAAAACAGGTTTTGTTGTTGCCTTCTAGTCGGCGAATGCATAACGAGATACCTCTTAGTTGTAATCTTCGTAACCACCTATAAAAACAAGGAGCTTACAATAAATGGAAGCTGCGTTCTCATTGCTACTTTCCAATGAGTAACAAGCGGTTGCATTTAATCAACGCCTCTTTTATTGTGTGCGAATTACCACGGTACGAAATGTGAATCTAAAAAATCACAAGGGGATGTTCGAATATGCTGAATCCCCCTCCACTATCCTGAAGTTTGAGAGCGGACGCAGCACCGTGTAGCGTTTGACACGCAACATTCACGTATACTATGGCGCTGGAATGCTCACTGCAACGCGACAAAAATTTTAATATCTTTTTTATCATAAGCGTCCGCGTAATCATCAATTACCGTCTAAGAGCTGAACCCCCCCCCCCCACTTCCTTACGTATACCTGGATCAGCGCCATATGTGAATAGCTAGAGTTGGCTTGATGTTCTTATCGATTTTTACAATTTCGTCATTTCGTGTCTTCCGAACCCGAATGAGACAATATCTGTCGCAGCTGGCCGACTCCATCTACCTGCCGAACGTCCACTCCAAGTCGCTCACCGTTAGCACAGTGGTCAGCATGAACGAGTACATGGCAAAGCTCAAGCAGGACAGGTCGGCCCCTAAGGGCGCCTTCGCAGGAGCTCAATTCGTGGCCGAAGATGGGCGCGGCGGCGCCACCGGTGCGAGTGGTCGGGCGGTCGCCTGGTACCAGGGCGACACCTACCACACGCAGTCTGCATCGGCGAACCTCGTGGGCACGGCGCTGCTGCGATGGGCGTCCGACGACCCCGAGGCCTCGATGCTGTCCATGTTGCAGCCGATGCGGCGCCAGAATCAGAGCATCTACTCGCGAACTCTTCGCCGCTACCACGTTGCCGAAGAGCTGCAGCTGGTGCTGTCGCAGCGCCTCATGCGTTTCGTGCTGCTGCCGGCAGCCATGTCGGTGACGGCGGCCAGCTTCGTGCTGTTCGCCATCGAAGACCGCGTGAGCAAGTCCAAGGCGATGCAGCTCACGTCTGGCGTGCCCCCTCTGGTGTACTGGATGGGCAACTACGTCTGGGACATGCTAATGTCCCTCGTCTCACTCGTCTTCATGTTCTTACCGATCACGTTCTGCTTCCCGCAGTTCGCCAGCATTGGTACGTCGACACCGATGTAGAGCACTCGCGCACTGAAACGTCAGATCACATTTTAAGTGCGGATCACTTGAAGGACCCGCTTTATAGTCCATCTGTACGTCTCATGCGGAGTGATATCGCTCACAGTAAAGCGTTTCAAACAGGTCATAACCATAAGACTATGAATGCTTGAAATCGGGCTAAAAATTAACAAGGTCTTAAATTATCTGACAGAATCATCTGGTAGGAATAACCAGGAAGTAATCGGAATAATTGACTGAAGATCGCTGAAATCATTTTGGAGACATACGACTGGCTCCAGCGACGTGCTTGAGAAGGCAACACCGCGTAGCGCTGAGCAAGCGAATGACTCCACCCCTCCCTCCGTGCTTTGCGGGTGCAGTGTTGCTACCTCTGGTGGGGCAAACGATCTGACGGAACCCGCTTCAGAAGACGCGTATCTCAACTACGTACCCTACATACCTCAAAGATGGGCGTCATTGACGCCTTGCTAAACGGAACAGGGGGAACTGTATACGATCAGGAATAGCTGGGTGTCTGCGCTACGCACTTCTCAGGGTCCGCAGTAGAGGAGCCGCCATACTTTTTTTTAGTACAACGACTGTTATGCGCAATTGCTATAGACTACCACGTAGTGTCTCGACGATTCACGTCTCTGAAGATGATTTTGGGTCTGATCTACACGTTAAGAATTTCGCCGATATGAACCACACTGAAGACGATACAAACGAAACTATATATGCAATATGCAAATGAGTTCTCTGTAGATTTGCAGTACCCCTGTGTCCATGCGTGGGCTTCCATTTGTCGATGAATTCGCCCTCGAGTTGCCAATTGCTAGCTTCCTGGTTTGCGCAACTTGTAGAGCGACCGCACCGGACAGGCGTTGGTCCCGGGTTCGCACCCGGTCCACGGAGAACTTTCCGGCAACTATAAGAGGTTTGTCTTTCAGACGAATCCGTACGAATTTGTGGCTTCATGGCACAAACGGCTGGTTGTCTATTTTCTCTTTCTACATGCGCGTAACTTAGCCATAAATTGTGCCCCTTCAATCAGTGAGTATGGTAACTTCGATATGCGCAGGTGATTCTAGCATAGTATCTGTGATGCAGAATACAATTACAATATGTCATGCAGTTGGCACCAGACAAATGAATACTGCTATAAAAGCATAAGTATACAGCAGTGGCATTAAGCTGCTGTATACACCGCAAGCGCATACTTCTCATTTGTACCTTCATCATTGCAAACGCTTTGTAGCCACTGATTTCAGCAGCGTCAAATCGTCGCACGTGCGATGTGTGTGCGAGCGCACACGTTTTGGCAAAGAGGGCACGTGGTAGTTCATCACTGTATTGCCGATCGAGTGCCGCAGAAGGTTGTGAACATCGGCCACTCTTGTGACGCAGCGCTAGCGGCGGTATGCATCTTCATGGCCTACGTGCACAGCATCCTGGCGTTCGTCTACTGGTTCTCCTTCTTCATGGATTCCAGGCTGGCCGGATTCATCCTCGTAAACGTCGTCACGTCTCTAACCGGTAGGTGCGCTTCACTGTTCCGGAAAATAATGACCGTCTGATCTTTCCTCGAAGGCGAAACTTTTTTCACCCTTATGCCACCCCTCTAGTATTAACTTTTGACTTCCCACATTGTCTCACATCACGTCGAAGCATGTTTGTTTCATGTACACGCACGCGTGCAGGCCCTATGACACATGAGCTTGCTCGTTTGCTGTGTATCACATGGAGAGGGATTCATTTTCCCAGTGGGGGCGGGGCCCGCCTTTTTCATTCACATATACCTCCTATATATATATGGCAGAGAGAGGTGAGTGTCCAACTTCTAAATTAAGTAATTTGAATATTAGTCTTCAAGGCGCCGGCGCAGTGGCATCATTATGACGATCTCTAGAGCGAGACTCCCGATTTATTTTTCAAATCGCACAAATACGTTGATCCACCTCTAACTCTCGGCTGTACAGCGACTGCGTGCCAAAGCATTCAATGGCTAACTGTGACGGAAATGGTTCGATTTTTGCAGAAGCACATTTAATTTATGAAAACCACTCGCTACGATGTTCACGAGTTCATTAATGTCGTCATAGATTGTTTTTGCCAACCCAACATATTCTGCACATCTGTTTGAGGGACATTTTCCACTGAATATTTGACCAACCTGCTAATCTTCAGCATTTCTATTAGTATTATATTGACTTGCACTTATACTCAACTTTATTCCCAAATATGTCAACGTAAGAGTGTTGTTGCGCCACCTGGTTATTTATTGCCAGAGACATGAGTTAGGGTGGAACGGGGTGCCGTGACCTCCCCTTGCAGACCATTTCACGGGAAGTTCATCATAGAAACATCTAATTAGTCACGTGTTTCACAAGTATGTCCTCCTTCATTGAAATCACTATCACGCAGACAACAGATTATGTGAGACATTTGCGTCAAAGGGCATTGGCACCATGATAAAAAAGAAATCTGATTTTAACAAACTAGCGAGCCGACTCCATTCAGGCTCATCCGAACTCGAGTGAAGCCATGGGTCTGTGTTTGAGTTCGGATGAGTAAAACGCTGGTGGGTCTGAGTCCGGATGAGTGCACAGAGGAAACTATATTCCTTGAGTGATCTTGAATAGGCTCCAACTTTTTCGCTGGCCTATGTCAGTGGCCCATGATCCAAATTTTAAGAGCCTGCGGGGAAAAGGAAGGCGTCATTAATATCTCCCTGTGAAATAGCTTCTAGACATAACCAACAGTCCATTGTAAATGGACAGGGACCAAAGCCACGCTCTTATCGCGGAACGGCGCCAGGAAGCGTGAGTGTGTGTCTGAACCCTTGACCCCGTGAAGCCTCCCGGAGAGAGACCGAACCTTCCAGCCCCCAACCTCTCATCTCCCCCCCCCCCCCCAGTCTCCGTATATGCTGCGTACGAGCCATTGCAACCGTTTACCGTTTCGTGCCTCAGTAAGTCAGCGGCGCCCGCGGCATCGGCGCACCTTTGACCTTAGACTATGCCATGTGATGACGTCGAGTGACGCCACGGTATGTGATGCCGCAGTAACGTCATAACATCACAAATTATGGCGATCTAGGGCGTCATGACACAGTGACGTTATCGCATTATGATCATTTTTTGCAACCCTCCAGTCGAAGCCGCCGACAGTCAATTTTCGAATTTGATATGACATCTCAGAATTCCGTCGTAACACAAAAATAATTTGCGACCTTTTCTTCGTCACTCCTAACAAGCATACAAAAGGACGTACTCCATAGCACGAGCACGGACCCAGCGTTTCGAAGTCCGAGATGTAACGATAGCGTGCCAACGTGTTGTACACGTTGGCACGTCCCACACTTCCCCATTCTGTGTAACGACCAAACGTTACCCAAAATTTACCCTCTTAGGTGCAGCAACCAATGTACGTGGTGCGAAGCAGCACCGACATCAGAGCCTATTTCATATCGGGGCCCACTACACCCGGAGACTGCCATCGCGCCTCTGTTGAACAACACTCCACAGAGATGGTGATGGGCGAAGCGGCTGACGGAACTGGAAATGGGAAGCCAAGTGACGACCCTTGAGCAAGCCCCGCGAGTCACTGTAGCCATTGGGACCATGGATAAAGAGTACCACCCATCATAATCACAAACAGCCTAAAAGTATAGACCATCTCCCCGAAGGGAACCATAATGGAATGCGAAGCAGCAGCGGTGCACACGCCGTTGGCCCGGCTGAAACAGACGTCGACGCGGGTGCTGAAAAAAACGGATTAAGCGGCACTCTGTGTAGCTTTACTCGAGCAAACGTTTCTTTTAAACACATGGACACGGGAGGCGGGTTGGGTGTGGTGCAAGTTTTATGGCAGATGAACGATCCAAAACAGTGTTTCGATGTGCGCTGAAGCAAGAAAGATGACACGCGGCAAGCGGTGACAGGCCAGGGAGAAAGTGACATCAACACGCGCGCACTAAGAGAGAAGGTGTAACCTACTTGCCACCGCCCCAACACCTGCGGCCAGGGGAGCGCGGTGCGGACAGAGGGACAGCGTTACACAGGCTAGTCAAAAGCTGCTTCGCATCTAATATAATTACTTTTCTCTTTCTCTATGTACATGACGCAGGCACGGTGTCCGGCCTTGCCTACCAGCTGTCTCTCATAGGATCGGAGCAGGGCTCAGAGCTGTTCACAATGAACCCGCCACGGGACGCGCTTCTCTGGGAGCTGTACTTGCTGCCTCCTTTTTCCTCCACTTGGGCTCTCATCAAGACTTTAGAGAAGACATCCGAGGAGAGATACTGCACCGGCGACACCATCGACGTGCGCGACGTGTGCGCCTACGTGCACAACAGCCTGGACGATGGCGCGGTGCTGCTTCCGAACCTGCGCTACTGCTGTGCCAGCTTCTACGCCTCCAACATGACCAGCGTCCACTTGCTGCCGTCCTTTTCGTTCCACAGGTATGGCGCAATAGAAGAAACGCACTGACTTACGCTCTCTCGAAGCCGAAGCGATGTTATAAACGAACTATTGCCACTAAAATTTGCAGAAATAGGCTATCATACTGGTACTCCAAATTACACGATGCATGCACAAATTAAGTGTTATGGGACGAAATCCGCCGTGTCTGCCGCAGCAACTATAGTCCCTTGCTAATCTTTGCGCATGACACTAGTGTACAGCGTCGGAAATGACTTGAACATTTCATACGCGATCTGAAATTTTTAAATGTCTCAGCAAGCGTTTTTTTCCCAGAAGATTTATTATGTCTATTCCAGTGCAATCTGGAGGATTAGTCAAAATTTGTCAATCACCAAGGCAAATCGGGAGAGTTAGGAATGTAGTATCGGGAGACAATTTCTATGTCTCCCCTATACTGCCACCCTACACCGCATCAGGAATGAACGAAGCCCATCATGTACAACGCTCTCTAGCATCTTGCAAGTCGTTTTGTCACGTCTAATTGGCCCACCCTGCGCGTCTTCCTCCAGAGATGGTATCCTAGCTGAGCTGCTGGTGATGCTAGCCGAAGGATGTGTCCTGCTCCTGCTGCTAGCGCTGTACGAGAACACCCACTTTCGCTACTGGGAACCCGGCCGGGTAGGTGACGCCATGGCACCTGGAAGCCAAACGCCATTCAAGGATGTGCCTGCGGACGTGGCATCTGAAGCAAGGTATATGGTGTAGTGATTGGGCGCAATAGATGTTACACATTGCCCCTTACAGTGTAAGTCACCGTTTCGCTGGTGATGACCCTCTCTCTTTAACAATGATAACCTTCGTTGCATTAGAAGAGAAGCTGCGGCCAATGTGTCATTGGTGCCTCTGGAGAAAGTCAAGGTTGCATGCGAAATTCAAGTGACACATTGCACATGTGCGACCAAGAACAGTAAGGGACACAAATTCTTGACGCAGGCGCGTCAACAAGGCCCTCGCAATGCACGACCTGAACAAGCCGGCGCTGCTGGTACTTGACCTGAACAAGCAAGTCCGGTCTATTGCCGTGCTACGCGGCCTCACCTTCCACATTGAACCTGGCGAAGTTTTCGCGGTTGTCGGCCTGCGCGGGTGCGGAAAGTCTACGTTGCTCGATGTGCTCTCGGGCAGCACGCTACCCACATCGGGAACGGCCCTCATCGGGGACGTTCAACTGCAAAATCTGGTCCAGTGGGAGCGACGTATCGGCGTCTGCCCCGCGCACGACAGCGTGCTCGGCTGCCTAACTGTGCACCAGACGCTGCAGCTGTATGCAAACATCAGGGGCATCCGGCCGCAGGACGTCGACCGCCTCCTAGAGCACCTTGTCCTTCTGCTAAACCTCACGCACTCCGCTGACCAGAGAGCCGAGTCTTGCAGGTGAGCTTTTTTTTTAGCTATAAGTACCGCATACAGCCACAGCCATCATTTAAAGGTCAACTCCGGTGATCTATCGAGGTCATTGGATCGCAATAAAATTCATTGGGTACGATCATTCGAACGTTTGCACCATTAATGCCAAATTGCCGACCTGAGAGTTTCACTGATTTGTTTCAAATGAATTTTGTACAGTTTGCTTCCAAACACTCTTCTCGCTTGCCAGAATTAATGGCAATATTGCGTGTGTGACGTTGATTTTCGCAAAGCGGGAGTATGGAACTGATGTGTCATTGCAGCATCTGCTTGTCTGCTATGGATTGTGTGGGTTTGGCCGGCGCTTCCTTGGTTGAGCGTGCCATTTTCCTTTCCCTATTGGTGGCCGTGCGATGGGTGGCAAGAGCTCTTGCGTTGTGGGCTGCACACAATTCACCATGTATTCACCATAAAAGCGTACGCGTTTTAGCCGATCACCGCAGGCACTAACTTGGACGGTCTCGATAAGCCGTGCCATCTCGCGGCATTATGCACAACCAGGCAAGTTCTGGCAAAGCATTACTTCATACTTAGAAGCACCCTCGTATAGGTTTCAGTATTGCGATTTCTGCTAATTAAAAATTATATTTTCGAGGTTGTTGAACATTTCAGCTCAACATTAGAGCCTATTTCATATCGGGGCACACTACACCCGGAGGCTGCCATCACGTCTCTGTTGAAGAACATTCCCCAGAGATGGTCATGGGCGAAGCGGCTGACGGAACTGGAAATGGGAAGCCAAGTGACGACCATTTACCAGGCCCCGCGAGTCGCTGTAGCCATTGGGACCACGGATAAGGAGTACCACCCATCATAATCACAAGCAGCCTAAAAGTATGGACCATCTCCCCGAAGGGAACCATAATGGAATGCGAAGCAGCAGCGGTGTGCACGCCGTTGACCCGGATGATACAGACGTCGACGCGGGTTCTGAGGTGTGACCAACTTGGCACCGCCCAACACCTGCGCCTAGGGGAGCGCAGTGCGGACGGAGGGACAGTGTTACACAGGCTAGTCAAAGAGCTGCTTCTCATATAATATAATTATTTTTCTCTTTCTCTGTGCACAAGACGCAGGCACGGTGTCTGGCCTTGCCTACCAGTTGTCTCTTATAGGACAGAGCAGTATCCCCATAACTCTGACATTGGTGAAAAAATCATCGGAGCTGGTTTTTAAAGGGCCTTAAACTACAAAACCCGAACGAGGGGCTTCAATGTCCTTGTCGCCGTAATTTCTTCTTGTCCCATGTGGGTAATGGCAGGACTAAGCGTCGAGACTATTAATAAGATATCGTGTTTTTCAGCTACAAGTTCTTGCGCAGTAGAAAGCGCGCAAAACGGGCATGAGGCTGCATAGCAAAGTAGGGTAGGAGACCGCTTACAACTTGACCTTTCTCGTATATGGTCCAATCGAGAGCTTATCTTTTTGTGACGGTATAGTAAAGCACTCATAGATGCCATCAAGCAGCTGCTATTTTAATTAAGTCCGCATTATGTGGATTCGTGCCCATTGCTTTTTGTGATATAAAACAGGCCGAGTTTGATTCCTCTTTGCTTTGTTCGCTATACACAGCGCCGTGACGCGCCGCAAGTTGGCCGTGGCCATCGCCATCATCGGGCTGCCCCCCGTGGTGCTGATGGACGACCCAGCCACGGGGCTTGACCTGATGTCCAAGCGCAAGATCTACCGCACAGTGGCCCTGCTGCGTGTCCTGGTGAAGTCGGCCGTCCTGGTCGTGACGCACAGCATGAGCGACGCCGTCGTCATGTCAGACCGCATGGCCATCATGCTAGAAGGCCGCTTCAAGTGCCTGGGCACCGCAAACGAGCTGCAGGCGCGCCTCTGCACCGGCACCGTGCTCCTGGTCAAGATGGCACTGGACAGCTCTAAGGACGTCGAAGCACTCACCCTGGTGCACACACTCGTGCTGCAGGTCTTCAGCGACGCCAAGTACAATGGCTGGGTTGGCCGTTCGCTGGAGTACACGATGACTCCCACGGCGCCCTGGAGTCAGCTGGTGCTCAGGGTTCGCGATCTGCACTCGCAGGTGGTTAATGACGTCACCGACGTCATCCTCACCGACGTGACGCTCGAGTACGGGCTCCTCAAGATGGTCAAGTACCACAGGCCCAAGCGAGCGGACACGCCGGCCGAAGATATTGCCGCATGAAGACGTGCGCCTGTATATGCGCTATAACGCGCTATCTCACGAACTACTGCAAGAGGAGCGCACTCTATAGCGCAAGAAAACCTCGTTATTCTATTTGAAAAAAAAATGTACATCAAGGTGATTGACACTACCGTGTTCGCTCTTTACCGTGTTCAGCTTTTTTACCGTATTTTGCGACTGCTGGCGGTTGCTACGTTTTGAAGTGCCGGCATGCACACCAATGAAAAACTTGCTGTAACTTCCCCTGCGAAGAAATTCGGTCATTCGGCACGTTGACCTTTCTGCTGCCCGGTGTTTTGTCGAGCCCCCATTCACTCCTTCGGATTATGTGACACACAAACCCTAAATATACTTAAATGTGTTGTGATTAATTGCGAATTGTTCTGTTAATAACATGAACGCGTGTTTATATTTTGTCGTTCTTCCTCGACAAACACATCGCATGATGCTTTTGCTTTATGTTAATGACTTGCCTGATATTGTTCATTGTAAGATTCGTTTGTACGCTGATGATTGTGTTTTATATCATGTAATCCACTCGCCCAATGATCACATCCTTCTCAACGATTCATTTGCATCTTTCTGTAACTGGTGCCGTTCCTGGCAAATGAACATTAACTACAAAAAACTGTGTTCATGTCCTTTACTAATAAATTAGTTCTTTCAGATTTCAACTACTCATTTAATGGACTGTCTTTGCTGAGAGTTTACCAATATAAATACGTTGGCGTACTTTTCACTCCTAACCTGTCCTGGTCTCACCATATTGATTACATTACTTCTAAAGCGCTAAAAAAACTTTGTTACCTCCGGCGTACACTATCTGCGTGCCCTAGCGATACAAAACTGTGTACAAGACCCTTATCCGCCCCTTGCTCGAATACGCGTCACCTGTATGGAACCCCTACAACCAGTGCGAAATAAAACAAATAAAATCGGTACAAAAAAAGGCCATTAGATTCATCTTCAGGCGTTATGACTCTGCTTTTTCACCTACGTCAGCATTACCATCTTTGAACCTATCTCTACTTTCATCGCGAAGGAACATTGAGTCTCTCAAGTTATTACATTCTATAATTTATTCGACGTGCAAACTTTCAAAATATCTCTACTTAACATGTTCCAGACCTTCTTCAACACGCCAATACCATCCTTTGAATATGACACCATTCTACGCCCTTACTAACACGTTTAAATTTAGCTTCTTTCCACGAACTGTTGAACTTTGGAATAACTTATCCGGTGACATACGTTCTTTGCCCTTAAATGAATTCTTGTTATCCATAAATACCCTTTGACAGTTTGTCTTTCCGTTTCACTGTTTACTGTGTTTACTGTGTTCTCTTCCTTGCCACCATGTCTTCATTATGCCACCATGTGATGCCATGTATTGCCACTTTGTATTTTGCTTTCCTTCGCATAGTATTACACCATGTTTTGTACCGGCCTGTTACCCATTCCTGCCATAGTCCTTACGGGTTGCAGTATGTAAAAATAAATAAATAAATGAGCTGTTGTGCCCGCTTGATGCCACCACTGCATATTGCGAGCGTAATTTATAATATGGCTAGGAATTTTCGCGGATGTCCGCTAGATGTTAAGCTTCACGAAAAGAAAAAATATTGCATCTGAATGTTGCTTGAACCTCGCCTAATTTTACTGCAAAGGTCTGTAGTCTGGAAAAAAATTGCCGCGGTTAGAAGAACACAGTCGGGGTCAGCAGGTAGATTTGATGCCTCGGACTGCAGACATATTCTTTGGTAGCGTACGAGAGCTCAACTGCCAGCCTGTTAGGAACTCGCAATTTTGCTCCGAAAATTTCGACCATCGGGTGTTCTTTAAAGGGCCCCTAAACCACCCAGAGGTCGAAATTAAGTTGTGGTGGGGAAGTTGTGAGCGAGTGTAAAACGAACACAGAGCCGTAAGAATTTTAGATGCGATGCAGCTTTTTTTGACTCACGTGTGTGACGCCATCCACACGAGTGTCCGTACGAACGCGCCACAACGCGTTCCCCTCGCCGCAACTGCGCATTTTACTTTAGTCGGTGTTGCTACCCTCCACTGACATCTTCTCTCAAAGCCCCTTTGCCCTTTCGCCGAGCGCCCCAACGAGTGTTTTTCCTCCCATCTCGCGAGTTTTTTTTTTTCCTCCTTGACCAAGAGAAGTTATGGGGGAGGGATACTCCGTATTTTTTCACTCCCCCCATATTTTTTCTCTTTTTCCTTACTTTCTTCACTCTTTAATTACGGTCCCTTCAGACCCCGTTCGGAACCCACGAGTTGGTGGATGAGGAAGTTAAGAGAGCCATAGCAAACGTCAGGAGCTCCTAGGAGCCACAGTACATGCTAAGCAGCGGGGTGAACCGACAGATGACGTGAAAGAATATGGGCAACCGTTCTCAAGCTGTAGAAGGGATGGCATCCCCTTCTGATCAATGCAAGATTAGAAGGAAGGTAGCTGAGTGGCTGGCCAGAAGTACATAAAACGATTAGACATGGCAGCTGCGAATTTTGGAACCATTCTAAACTCCCTAAGAAATGAGGACGAGCCTAGAGCAGAGATTTATAAACTACAGACCAAGTGCTAGGCTAGAAGGGGACGAAGCTATGAATATATAAGAACAAAAGTGACAGAAAATTCAACAAAGAAGTACTTTATGCACCACAATAGACAAGGACGAATCAAGTGGTGCGATGGCTCATTTTCACACAAGAGTGGGAAGGGTGAAAAAAGGGTTCCTAGTAGTACATCAACAGGCCAGATGGCATTCCAATTAGGCTGATAAAGACATTAGGTCCGAAGTCTAAGCAGGCTTTGAGAGAGGCAGTGAGCACAATAATAATCAATGGTGAAGTTCCCGATGGATGGAAACTTAGCAGGATGAGCATGATCTATAAAGGAAAGGGGGACAAAGCTGACATAAACAACTACCGTCCTATAACAGTGACATCAGTGGTCTACAGGCTGGCGATGCAGATTATAAAGGAAAGACTGCAGGCGTGGATAGAGGATGAGGGGGTGCTGGGGGAACTGCAGAATGGGTTTCGGAAACACAGGAGGTTGGAAGACAATCTGTTCTCACTGACGCAGTGCATAGAAATAGCAGAAAAGGAACACAGGCCCCTGTGGCTAGCATTTTTGGATATCAAGGGAGCGTACGATAGCGTGGTTCAAGAGGAATTGTGGGGAATACTGGACACACTAGGCGTGGAACATGTAGTCACTAATCTTTTAAAGGGTATCTATAAAGGTAACAAGGTAGTTATAAAGTGGGAAAAACAGGTATCCAAGCCTGCAGAGGTAAAACGGGGGCTTAGGCAGGGGTGCCCCCTGTCACCCTTATTATTCATGACGTACCTACAAGGATTAGAGGCAAAATTAGAGGGAAGTGGACTGGGCTTCAACCTCTCTTTAGTCAAACAAGGAAAACTTATTGATCAGGCACTACCAGCATTAATGTACGCAGATGATATAGTGCTAATGGCCAACAACAAGGAAGATTTGCAGAGATGATGGATATCTGCGGTAATGAGGGAGATAGGTTAGATTTTAGATTCAGTAAGGAAAAATCAGCAGTCATGATTTTCAATGACAACGAAGGTAGTGAGCTTAGAATACAGGGAGGTCACGCTAGAGATAACAGATAAATACAAATATCTGGGCGTATGGATAAGCAATGGGACCGAGTATCTGAGGGAACACGAATATACGTGGACGACTAAAGGTAACAAGAATGCAGCAGTCATGAAAAATAGGGCACTGTGGAATTACAATAGGTATGATGTTGTGAGAGGAATATGGAAAGGGGTCATGGTTCCTGGGCTGACGTTCGGCATCGGTCTTGTGCAGAGGATCAGAAGTTCAAGCAAGATCAGAAATTAAGCAACGTGGAATAGGTAGGCTTGCTTTAGGAGCTCACGGGAATACACCAAATGAGGGAGTACAAGGTGATATGGGATGGACATCATTTGAGGGCAGGGAAGCTAGCAGCAAGATAAAATTTGAGAAGCGATTGAGAGAAATGGGGGAAGAGCGTTGGGCTAGGAAGGTTTTCAGCTACTTGTACATGAAGAATGTCGATACAAATGGAGGAAGCGAACCAGGAAGTGACTGGTAAATACTTAGAAAACAGCAGGTGGCCCAAACCAAAAAGAGCTATCGGTTAAGAAGAAAGTGAAGGAAACGGAGACTGACATGTGGAGAATGGGCATGATAAAGAAGTCCGCACTAGAGATCTATCGAACGTTTTAAGCAGGAAATTGCCAAGGAAAGGATCTATGATAATACTCGGGGTAGTTCTCTACTGTTTGAGGCCAGAACGGGAGTACTGCGAACCAAGACATATCGGGCCAAATACGAAAGGGTAGACACAGTATGCAGTGCGTGTGGAGAGGAAGAAGAAACTGCCGAACATTTGATAATGTTCTGTAAAGGGCTTCACCCTATAGTTCAGGATGATGGCGCAGAGTTTTTTTTTTTCCTCCTTGACCAAGAGAAGTTATGGGGGAGGGATACTCCGTATTTTTTCACTCCCCCCATATTTTTCTCTTTTTCCTTACTTTCTTCACTCTTTAATTACGGTCCCTTCAGACCCCGTTCCTCCACGAGTGTATCGGCTCTCTCTTCATATGAGGGACAGTTATCGTGCAGTTCAGACCTCATTTTCTTATCTTTCCGTCTCTTCCTAAAGAATCACCCAGCCCTCCTCCCTCTCACGTGGCATGCAGGTACTATAGTGCCTAGAGTAAGTATATTCTAGGAACTCTACAGGTACGATCTGTGCTTGGCTGGGCGGCCGTGTGCTGCCGAGAGGCGTCGCACGCGGACAACACGTGCCGGGAAGGCCCGAAGAGGAGGGAGTGGTTGTTTTACATCAAAAGCTGTTATGAGGTTACAACTCGGGTCACGCGCGGTTGTCCGCCGCCGCCGGTGTCCGTAACCACATCACGCGAAATTTGAAAAAAAAAATCAGTATATCCACAGAGTGAATCACGATTGGTGGGGCGAAGCGTTCGTCAGTCTATCCGTGCTTCCGCCCGTCCATGCATCCGTCCGTTCTTTCGTCTGTCTGTCCTTCCGTGCGTCCACCCCCTCTGTCTGTCTGTCCATCAGTCCGTCCGTTCATCTGTATGTTCGTCCGTCCGTCCATCTATCTAGTGGACACTTCAAGTGCAGCCATATCCCATCTTTTCATCATAGTGGGATAATCATGGTTAACAGTGGAAGTGCCTCAGACTGGCTGGCCAACGTTTCGACAGGAGGACCTATCTGGGGTTTAGGGACCGGGAGGGCAAAATAACTTTAAGCGGGTAGACTTAACTAGGAAGGAGGTTATCTGATTGGTGGCTAAAGTCAAGGCACGAGTGAAAACTAAACTCTTCACTGCAAAGTACGAATCCTCAAACTCTTTTTTTAAGGAAAAAAAAAATATAGTTTTTGGTTCATTAGGTATTACGGCTTGGTGGCGCTAGCCACCGCCCGATCTAAGAGAGAGAGAGAATAAACTTTATTGGGTTCCAGCATGCGGGATTCCCTCCGGCCGCGCAGGGCGTGGGTTCACCCTATCTCACGTTACACTAGAAGTCCTAATGTCACGCGGGCCTAGACTCAAGGCCTTCGTGCCCCGTCGCCGCTCGGGTTACTGAGGGTGTCCCCCTTTCGCCTTTGCAGCGCCAGTGCGACCTCGAGCTGCCGGACGGCCCTTCGCTGGTCTTCTGGTCCGTAGACCCCACACGCTGTTCTACTTGCGGCGGGTAACCCGGACCGTCCGCGCGTCTGCGTCACATCCCCAGAGTATGTGAGCCAGGGTGGCTCTCGCGCTCGCGCACACACTGCACATTTCCTCACGTAGAGTTCGGGGCACACGTGTCGCGCTAGCGATGGGGTCAGCACAGTCTCGGTTTGGAGCTGGCGCAACCTCACCGCCTCCCACCGGGTAAGATCCCTGTGTGGAGGCGGGAAGCCACGCCGTTGCTCCCTGTACCACGCGAGGATGTCGCCGTATCGAGCAGCTGCTCCTCGCCTTCTTCTTCGGTCGCCGTCGTGTCTTCGGAGGCGGGCGCGGCCGCGGTCGGCACGTGGCGAGACCACGGGCCGCGGCATCCGCCCTCCTCGTTGCGGTTCGGAGATCCTGGTATCAGGTCCCTACCCATGTGAGCCGGGAACCATTTTAGCGTCAGCCTCGACTTGGACTCGTCGCTTGCCAACGCCCTAGCAGCCGCCCCGCACACGGCTCCGCGCGAGAAGCTACGGATGGCCGTCTTGCTGTCACTGAGTATTGTCCGCACGCCCGGGAGCGCGCCGCCAAGGCTATCGCCATCTCCTCGGCCTGGCTCGCGCTCCGCGTACGCACGCTGCATGACGATCTAAAGGGTACAGCCATATCCATCCATCCATCCATCCATCCATCCATCCATCCATCCATCCATGTAGCCACCTCTCGTTTAGTTCTTGTAGTGTTTACTAGATGGTGGTACTTGTAGCTGATGATGAAAAGATGCAAGTTGTTATAAACTAGAAAGCGGTACTTGTAGTTGATGATCGAAAGACGCGAGATCTTATAAAATAGGAATGATGTCACATATGGCGCGTGTCATTGGTTGAAGGCAATCGTTCGATTTAGTGCGGCGACGTACGCTAGGGGGAGCGATTATAAAATCGAGTGGGCAAAATGTACAGAGGATTCATGGTTTACCAGGTTTACCTCCGGAGCTTCGCCCACTCATCATCACTTCACTTCGTGGATATGGCGGAATTTTTGTGATATAACACAGGCCGAGTTTGACTCCTCATTGCTTTGCTCGCTATACACAGCGCCGTGACGCGCCGCAAGTTGGCCGTGGCCATCGCCATCATCGGGCTGCCCCCCGTGGTGCTTATGGACGACCCAGCCACGGGGCTTGACCTGATGTCCAAGCGCAAGATCTACCGCACAGTGGCCCTGCTGCGTGTCCTGGTGAAGTCGGCCGTCCTGGTCGTGACGCACAGCGTGAGCGACGCCGTCGTCATGTCAGACCGCATGGCCATCATGCTAGAAGGCCGCTTCAAGTGCCTGGGCACCGCAAACGAGCTGCAGGCACGCCTCTGCACCGGCACCGTGCTCCTCGTCAAGATGGCACTGGACAGCTCGAAGGACGTCGAGGCACTCACCCTGGTGCACACACTCGTGCTGCAGGTCTTCAGCGACGCCAAGTACAATGGCTGGGTTGGCCGTTCGCTGGAGTACACGATGACTCCCACGGCGCCCTGGAGTCAGCTGGTGCTCAGGGTTCGGGATCTGCACTCGCAGGTGGTTAATGACGTCACCGACGTCATCCTCACCGACGTGACGCTCGAGTACGGGCTCCTCAAGATGGTCAAGTACCACAGGCCCAAGCGAGCGGACACGCCGGCCGAAGATATTGCCGCATAAAGACGTGCGCCTGTATATGCGCTATAACGCGCTATCTTACGAACTACTGCAAGAGGAGCGCACTCTATAGCGCAAGAAAACCTCGTTATTCTATTTGAAAAAAAAAATGTACATCAAGGTGATTGACACTACCATGTTCGCTCTTTACCGTGTTCAGCTTTTTTACCGTACTTTGCGACTGCTGGCGGTTGCTGCGTTTCGAAGTGTCGGCATGCACACCAATGAAAAACTTTCTGTAACTTCCCCTGCGAAGAAATTCGGTCATTCGGCACGTTGACCTTTCTGCTGCCCGGTGTTTTGTCGAGCCCCCATTCACTCCTTCGGATTATGTGACACACAAACCCTAGTTATACTTAAATGTGTTGTGCTTAATTGCGAATTGATCTGTTAATAACATGAACGCGTGTTTATATTTTGTCGTTCTTCCTCGACAAACACATCGCATGATGCTTTTGCTTTATGTTAATGACTTGCCTGATATTGTTCATTGTAAGATTCGTTTGTACGCTGATGATTGTGTTTTATATCATGTAATCCACTCGCCCAATGATCACATCCTTCTCAACGATTCATTTGCATCTTTCTGTAACTGGTGCCGTTCCTGGCAAATGAACATTAACTACAAAAAACTGTGTTCATGTCCTTTACTAATAAATTAGTTCTTTCAGATTTCAACTACTCATTTAATGGACTGTCTTTGCTGAGAGTTTACCAATATAAATACGTTGGCGTACTTTTCACTCCTAACCTGTCCTGGTCTCACCATATTGATTACATTACTTCTAAAGCGCTAAAAAAACTTTGTTACCTCCGGCGTACACTATCTGCGTGCCCTAGCGATACAAACTGTGTACAAGACCCTTATCCGCCCCTTGCTCGAATACGCGTCACCTGTATGGAACCCTACAACCAGTGCGAAATAAAACAATAAAATCGGTACAAAAAAAGGCCATTAGATTCATCTTCAGGCGTTATGACTCTGCTTTTTCACCTACGTCAGCATTACCATCTTTGAACCTATCTCTACTTTCATCGCGAAGGAACATTGAGTCTCTCAAGTTATACATTCTATAATTTATTCGACGTGCAAACTTTCAAAATATCTCTACTTAACATGTTCCAGACCTTCTTCAACACGCCAATACCATCCTTTGAATATGACACCATTCTACGCCCTTACTAACACGTTTAAATTTAGCTTCTTTCCACGAACTGTTGAACTTTGGAATAACTTATCCGGTGACATACGTTCTTTGCCCTTAAATGAATTCTTGTTATCCATAAATACCCTTTGACAGTTTGTCTTTCCGTTTCACTGTTTACTGTGTTTACTGTGTTCTCTTCCTTGCCACCATGTCTTCATTATGCCACCATGTGATGCCATGTATTGCCACTTTGTATTTTGCTTTCCTTCGCATAGTATTACACCATGTTTTGTACCGGCCTGTTACCCATTCCTGCCATAGTCCTTACGGGTTGCAGTATGTAAAAATAAATAATAAATGAGCTGTTGTGCCCGCTTGATGCCACCACTGCATATTGCGAGCGTAATTTATAATATGGCTAGGAATTTTCGCGGATGTCTGCTAGATGTTAAGGTTCACGAAAAGAAAAAAAATCATCTTAATGTTGCTTGAACCTCGCCCAATTTTACTGCAAAGGGCTGTAGTCTGGAAAAAAAATTGCCGCGGTTCAAAGAACGCAGTCGGGGTCAGCAAGTAGATTTTATGCCTCGGACGGCAGACATATTCTTTGTTAGCGTATACGAGAGCTCAACTGCCAGCTCGTTAGAAACTCGCAATTTGCTCCACAAATTTCGACCATCGGGTGTTCTTTAAAGGGCCCCCTAAACCACCCAGAGGTCGAAATTCAGTTGCTGGTGGGGAAGTTGTGAGCGAGTGTCGAAACGAACACAGAGCCGTAGAATTTTAGATGCGATGCAGCGTTTTTTGACTCACGCTGTGTGACGCCATCCACACGAGTGTCCGTACGAACGCGCCACAACGCGTTCCCCTCGCCGCAACTGCGCATTTTACCCTAATTAGTCGGTGTTGCTACCCTCCACTGACATCCTCTCTCAAAGCCCCTTTGCCCTTTCGCCAAGCGCCATAACGAGTGTTTTTCCTCCCATCTCACGAGTTTTTTTTTCCCTCCTTGACCAATAAAAGGTCTGGGGGAGGGATACTTCGTATTTTTTTCACTCCCCCCATACCTTTTCTCTTTTTCCTTGCTTTCTTCACTCTTTGATTACGGTTCCTTCAGACCGTAAGTGTATCGGTTCTCTCTTCATATGAAAGATAGTTATCGTGAACTTCAGACCTCATTTTGACACCTTTCCGTCTCTTCCTCAAGAATCGCCCAACCTTCCTCACTCTCTCGTGGCATGCAGGTACTATAGTGCCTAGAGTAAGTATATTCTACGAACTCTACAGGTACGATCTGTGCTTGGCTAGGCGGCCGTGTGCTGCCGAGAGGCATCGCACGCGGACAACACGTGCCGGGAAGGCCCGCAGAGAAAGGGGGGTTGTTTTACAGCGAAAGCTGTTATGAGGCTACAACTCTGGTCACGCGCAGTTGTCCGCCGCCGCCGGTGTCCGTAACCACATCACGCGAAATTAGAAAAAAAAATCACAGTATATCCACGGAGTGAATCATGATTGGTGGGGCGAAGCGTTCGTCAGTCTATACGTGCTTCCGTCAGTCCATTCGTTCTCGCTTCCGCCCGTCCATGCATCCGTCCGTTTTTTCGTCTGTCTATTCGTTCGTCTGTCTGTCCTTCCGTGCGTCCACCCCCTCTGTCTGTATGTCCATCAGTCCGTCCGTCCATCTATCTAGTGGTGACGTCATCTCCTGGTGGTGGCACGTGTCCACTAACTCTTTTAAAACTAACACGCCAAGGATACCACGGCGCTTTTGAAAAAGATAGGTCCTCCTATCGAAACATCGGCCAGCCAGTCTGAGGCACTTCCACTGTTAACCCTGATTATCCCATTACGTTGTTTCCTTCTGTCGGCTCCCATCTAGAATTCGGATTTCCGTCTTTTCATCATATATGCTGCCATCCAGCGGACATTTTGAGGACCGCTCTTTCAAATAAGTGCCATCGGTGGTTAAGCACTACAACGAAGGACGCACAAGCCAACACGCCATAAAAAGCTTTGCCCCTAAAACCTAGCACCAATGGCACAGTGGGGCTCAAACACGGGTCCGCTGGATACCAGCCCAGTATTCTACCACCAAGCTACATCAGTGCTTGTGACTTGTTGTCAAATTTGCCTTAGGCAGGTTTGATGTCGGGAAAGAAATCGCGTTAATACGACTTATAAGGCGTTATGAAACAGCGAAAGAACAACCAGTCGTCGCACAATGCGAATAGCGTAACGAATGGGTCGCCCGAAGCTCCAAGCCATCACAAAAGCTTGTTCTTGTTTCCTTATCATGTGGTGCATATCCATTTCAGCCATAATTCCTCATCGTAGTAAGCCGATGCATGGACAACTGGCACAAAATTCATTGCCAGTGTTTAGCAGATACGACGCTTCTCAGAAGGGAGGAGGAGGAGGAGGAGGAAGGGAAGAAATGAAAGGCAAGGAGGGCAACCAGAGGGACGTCCGGTTTGCTACCCTGCACTGGAGGAAGGGGTGAGGTGATTAAAGGAGAAGAGAGAGAGAGAAGTGAAGGACAACGTGTGTGTAGATGTGACCTTGTCCATTGCACGTTTATAAGCGGTCGCATAGTCCGGTCGTCTTTAGAAAACTTAGCAGTGCTCGCGTCGCTTTGCTGGCCTGCGACGCGTACAGCCATGAACCAAGGATCTTCTCTTCGGAAAAAGGTCTACTGTCTAGTGTCTCTAACGTTTCGCGTAGCGAGTTGCGTTCGCTCGAAAAACGTTCACATGAACACAGTATATGTTCTATTGTCTCATCAGTGTCACACGATTCACATCGGGAGCTATCCGCCATTCCTATGCGAAAGGAGTACGCCTTTGTAAAAGCTACTCCTAACCACAGGCGGCACAGTAAAGTTGCATCCTGGCAGAAAAGGTCCGATGGAACTTGAAGCTTTCTCGATGGGTCCAATTTGTGTAGGCAGCGGTTCCTGACATTGGGGTCACTCAGCGAAGTTTCCAGCATGGTGTTAGAGAACGAGTGAAGGCCCCTTGCAGCGTCAGTTCTCGACAATGGAATCGGGGTTGTCTGGGCGTCCGCGTGGGCGGATCGGGCAGCATTATCAGCAAGGTCATTACCGACAATACCACAATGTCCCGGTAACCACTGGAACACCACGTCATGTCCTTTAAAACTTCGTGAATCTCTTCTCTTATTTCATTCACTAGTTGTTGATGCTCCCTTTGTCGTAAAGCTGATTGCAAGCTCTGAAGGGATGCCTTGGAGTCGCAGAACACAGCCCATTTTTGAGGTCGGGCTTCCGCGATATAAAGTATAGCAGCACGTAAGGCGGCAAGCTCCGTTGCTGTGAATGTTGTCCTATGCGACAGTTTAAGCTTTATAGTGACCTGGTACGCCGGGATGACAACAGCAGCTGTGGAGCTGTCAGCCGAGACCGATCCATCGGTGTAAATGTGGGTCCTCTGGCCGTATATTTCGTTGAGTAGCGACAATGTCACCTGTCGTAGGACCACTGTTGAATGACGGCTCTTGTTCATTATTCCCCGAATAGTGAGGCACACCTGTGGTTGTTGTAGGCACCACGGAGGTGACGCTGGTCGTGTTGCTGGAGTGAAGCCGAAAGGAAGGCATTCTCTATGGGCAGAAATAATCTTTGAAAACATCGCTTGTGGTCTTTGAAGTGGCAACACTGCAACATGGTGACCAGGAACTCGGCAGAGGTGTCTTATGTGGGCTCTCAAATTGTCAGTGGTGATGTATATTTGAATTGGATGCTCTCTTGCGATTATAATTGCCCCGTAGGTTGAGGTGCATCGCGGCAATCCTAAGCACACGCGTAGTGCTTGTCCTTGCAGACTTTCGAGGGTGCGGATGTTCGTCTTGCACGCACTTGCCAGTAACGGCAAGCTGTAGCGCAAAAATCCCAGAAACAGTGCCCTGTATAGCTGCATCATTGACCTTATCGATGTGCCCCAAGATTTTCCGCAGAGGAGCCGCATTATATGGACGATGGAAGTTAGCCTTCTCTTCAGGTAATTGCAGTGGGCACTCCACGAAAGGTCCCTCTCAATAATCACACCCAGGAAGCGATGGTTCTTCTGGTATGGAATATTTTGCCCATTGATGGCAACGGGGTATTGTGTCATGGCTCTGCGAGTAAACGCAACCAATGCACATTTCCCCGTTGAGACGGAAAGACCTTGCTTGCGGAGATATGAGCATGTCAGGGTGGCAGCCTGCTGGACTCTTGCACGTACTTGTAGACGAGTTACAGCCGAAGTCCATAGACAAATATCATCAGCATATATGGATATGAGGATAGTACTGGGCAAAATTTCACGAAGTCCTACCATCACGAGGTTAAATAAAGTGGGGCTTAATACAGCGCCCTGAGGGACGCCACAGGAGGTGTAGCAATTGGTGGTAGGTCCATCTGAGGTTTGTACAAAAAAAGGACCTTCTCGTCAAATAATCCTGGATCCATTGGAACATCCGACCACCGATTCCAACAGCTTCCAAGGAGTCTAGGATGGCTTTATGTGTTACGTTATCATAAGCCTCTTTGACGTCGAGGAAGAGTACCAGTAGTATGCGCTTGACGCTCTTCTGTTGCTGGATAAATTTTGTCAGATCAATCACGTTGTCAAGAGATGACCTTCCTCGCCGAAAACCCGTCATGCAGTTTGGGTATACGTTGTAGCACTCGAGGTACCATTCTAGGCGTGTAAGTATCATCCTTTCCATGACTTTTCCTACGCAACTTGCGAGGGCAACAGGGCGAAATGATGTCAAATCAAATGGTGACTTTCCTGCTTTGAGTAGTGGCACCAGTCGACTTATCTTCCAATCCTGGGGAACAATGCCCGCCTGCCATGAGTGGTTGTAATAGCTTAACAACTGTCCCCTTGCCTCCTGTTTAAGGTTGGCTAGAGCGGCGTAGGTGATGCCATCGGGTCCTGGTGAAGATGACCGTCGGTAACCCGCCAAAGATGCGTCAAGTTCTTCTATAGTGAAAAGATTGTTTATTTCGGAGATGCGGGGTTCAGGGATAACACTCCTAATGGTGCACGGGTCCGCTGGATACCAGCCCCGTATTTTACCACCAAGCTACATCAGTGCTTGTGACTTGTTGTCAAACTTGCCTTAGGCAGGTTTGATGTCGGGACAGAAATCGCGTTAATACGACTTATAACGCGTTCTGAAACAGCGAAAGAACAACCAGTCGTCGCACAATGCGAATAGCGTAACGAGTGGGTCGCCTGATGCTCCAAGCCATCACAAAAGCTTGTTCCTGTTTCCTTATTAACTGTGGTGCATACCCATTTCAGCCATAATTCCTCATCCGCGTCAGCCGATGCATGGACAACTGGCACAAAATTCATTGCCAGTGTTTAGCTGATACGACGCTTCTCAGAAGAATGACTAAAAATAGCCTAGCGAATGCCGGCCTACTACCAAAAAAAAAATATTAATGCCCTAGTGGGTATCAAGCAAGTGTGCTTGCAGTAGTTGCCCAATGAGTGTTTTAAAGGTTCTGGAAAGCCGCTCTTCTAGCTTTCGCTGTGACTGTGCTGCACCTTCCGCGCGGGCCTGGCGTTTTTTTTTTTTTTCGGATTTATGGCGCGTCGGCGACTTGTAGCACAGCCACTTGTGGTATAGTGTACTAAAATTAGTACACTATACTTGTGGCATCGTTGATCGCAACGGCAGTCTGCCCACGATGAGCGCGTTCACTTGAAATGTCTGCAAAAATATCGAAGGTGGTTTAGGGGTCCTTTGGCGTGCACTGACTTCGCACGGTACACGGACCTCTCCCATTTCACCTCCATGGAAATGCGACCACCGAGGCAAGCTTGTATACATACAGTAGCACCTATAGTCGTAAATATTTGGTGGTAGTGGTCCAAAGGCGAAGAAGGAACGTAATTTTGCAGCCCGGTAGGGGGCACGGAGCAGCAGCTGTAAATATTTTGCAACTGCAATGACACTGCATTGTGTGCGTTTCCACAGCCCTTTCTCGTTCTCTGATTCCCTCTTCCTTACGTTCCTGTCTCCCCTTGACCTTCCCCTAGTGCAGGGTAGCCAACCAGATGCTTGCTTTGCAATTAACCTCTCGGCCTTTCCACATCTCGTATTTTTCTCTCTTGTAACTTCAGGTTAAAACACGGGAGTGACTACAGTGTTCCAAGGTGGAGCTTTGTAAGCGGCTTTGAAATGAAATCGATACATAAATTTTAAAGATAACTCACGAGCAAACATCATCATGAAGAACACAGTGAAACCAGAGGCTTAACGTGAAGATTACTCTGTCAGTTCGGCGACGCCGAAGTTCCAAGCAAGGACACCATCCTAACAGCATTTCTTTTGCAATTTAATATGCATATGATTAATATGCAGACTATGCTAACAGCATAGTCTGCATATTAATCACGGGTTGCATGCATCTTGGCAATTCAATGACCAAAACAAGGAGCTACAGCTCTCTCTCTCTCTCTGTTCTGAGGTTTGGCTACTATGAAGCCTTTTCATCGCTGCCCATTAGAAAAATATTCATATTCAAAATGTACTTGGTATTTCTAATATGCACTACTCGAGTACAGATATTAGTACCGAAACAATTGCACGTCCCTAAGCATAGCGTAGCAAGAGGTGAAAAAGATGCTTAGGAGGAGAGTAGGGCGAGAGGGGGCAACATAAAAAATTTAAGAAAAGAAATATGAGAGAAAAAAAAAAACTTGCTCTGCGTTCAGGAGGTGGTGCCTCTTGCTTGTCAGCTTCCCTGTTTACCTATATTGCGAAGGCGTGTAACTGGTTTTAATTTTTTTCTTCTCGGCGGCCCCACCGCAAGCTTCCTTGGACACATGCCAGTAATGTGAAAAAGTAAGCTTTCAAGGTGATCTGACGAGAACCTTCTTTAAAAATCGAATTACTAGTCTTTTATTTTAAGTTGTTCCTTGTCGACACTAAGGCTACCAATCTACCACATTTGCATAATAATTAGTGTCACAACTTCACTAATTGTTTGCAAACATGTTTGTAAACAAATGTTTGTAAACGTTCGAGGCCAATGTCGATTTTTATTGTCTACGAGTCTTTTCCCAAACATAGTGGTTAACGTCCAACCCTCGTCATTAAATACAAATCATTAATATATTGCGTTTCAGATTTGCTCAGATACACGCTAAGAAATGCTTGCGCATTAAAATACCGCGTTGGTCAGCCGGCTGCAGAAGAAAGTGACAGCCGCCACGAACCTGATACGAAGAATCACGAACAAGAGGAAAGGAATGAAAGAGCACCATGTAGTGGGACTAATAGAGGCATATGCCTTAAGCCACATCACGTACGTTGCTGCTTACGTCAATTGGAGTAGAAGCGAAAGCAACAAACGGGACACGATCATCCGCAGGGCTTACAAAGCTGCATGAGGCGTAGCTCAATACACAGCCAACTGCAGGCTCTTTGAGCTGGGCGTGCACAGCACGCTCGCCGAAATCATTGACGCTCAGAGGACAGCGCAGCTCGAGAGACTGTCGGGCACCAAGACCAGAAGAACCATCCTCGACTCCCTCGAGATTCGTTGCCACGGGATGCGGCGACTGAAGGACGCGCTATTGCCAGCGGTCGAGAATGCTATACTCACAGAGAATATGCCCAGAAACATGCACCCAGTGCACGATGTCGATACCACGGCAGCCGAGAAGGTGCCGAGAAATATGTCGATACCACGGCAGCCAAGAAATACCACGGCAGCCGAGAAGGTGTCCCTTTTGTCGACGCTGCTAAATACCCCCGGCCCGACCGAGGACAACAGCAGCACGAACGAGAGCAACAACAGCGCCAATCGACACCTGCCTTCTCCATGGCGGTGGTCGACACGAGGAAAAGAACTCTGGTAACGGGATCTGTGAGGCTCCCATCATCTGAGGCGGCAGAAGAAATGGCGATAGCCCTCACAATAATTCATGGTGGAAACGCGGGCACACTTATCGCCAGTGACGCCAAGACGGCAGTCCGGAACTTTACGAAGGGGTGGGTCTCTGTCGAGGCGGCGGACATGCTAAAAGCCAGAGCCGTAGATTCAAGTCTGGCGCGATTGCTGCCAAGTCTCTCAAGTGGTTCGCCGCGCACGTGGGAGAGCTTGGCAGCGACCAATGATCTGACCTCCCGTCGAACCACAACGAGCGCGCCCACTTCGTCGCGAGACGGCTAACCTGCCGCGACGAAAGGTCCGCCGATGTGCGACACAGCAAGGCACACGAGGTCGGAGGACATAATACCTCTGCGACGACAATAACAGACCCCCGAGGCCTTACAGGACAGCAAGGACATCATGGTCACTTTCCACGAGATCCTCAACCATTATAGAAAAACGCGACGACGTTACCTCCACCCCCCCCCCATGAAGCTAAAGAGGTCTCAAGCGTCTGATCTGAGGCGTCTGCAGACAGACACATTTGAGAATCCCCGACACCTGCATAGACTGTGTCCCTCACTCCCCCTGTCACCCGGCTGTCCGTGGTTCGGGCACGAGACAGCCGACATGGCGCATATACTTTGGGAGTGCGAGTGCGGTGTTCCCCACCACCACTCAGACGAGCGTGAGTGTACCCCATGACGACTGGCTGAGCGGTGGCAAGCCGCCCTTCTCGGCCCACTTGAAGTGGACCAAATCTGGGCTGTCCAACCAGCCAGTGCTATCGCAGAGGACATCACATGATGCTCCGCGGATGACGGCTCCTGGAGGACAAGCCCGGGCCAGTGATTCCTCGTTGGATCCTTAATAAAGTTTATTACATACCTACCTTAAAATACCGCGACTCTAAGGTGCTCCAGCCCATCATTAATTTTTCATTGGTAGATAACCAAAACTAACCAGCTATTCTGCACTCGACTAAATGATCTCTAGACTGTCTATAGTGGTGTTTTAATAGCTTCTATTGCATCACAACGAAAAAATGCTATAAGCAGAATGCTAAAGAGTGTTAAGCAACACTGACATACTGCCACTGAGCTTAGCCTGGGGTGGTGGTGGTAAACATTTAATAACCATCAAAAGGTTAGAGAGGCGATTGGGTTGGGGCATCATTCACCTCCTCCCCTCAGAGCACCCCCAGGTGGAACCCCTATTTCGGAGATCCGTTGGCAAACAACGCCGCCCGCGTTCGTTGAACCAGGGCCTTTTGGGCATTCAGGTCCCGACAGCCGAACAGGGCCACCTTCCAGCCCTCTCTCGTGGGGTTGGGAGGGATAGACGTACTTGATTAACACACCCAGACTATATGGAAGGTGTCAGCCACCTCTCCACAGAACCGACATGTGCCATCAAAGGATGAATTGAAATGTTTTAGCACCACTGGGCACAGTACAGTATAGGTAAACGGTTTTAAAAGGAGGCGCTCGTCAGCGCGATGCAGTCCTTTACAAGGGTCCAGATAGTGCCAGTACTCGTCCTTGTAGTAATTGGTAATGTCTTTGAACTAAAGGGCCGAATTGTCTGACAGGGAAATAGCTTGGGAAGAGAGAGCGCAGGTGGCCTGATCAGATCAGCCTGTTCGTTTCCCCCCCCCCCCCCTCTGAGTCCTTGGTGATTGGTGCCCAAACCCGATTACGTGGAGCTGAATCAATGTAACAGTAGTTAAATTCCAGTATGCACTGAGCAGGCGGGGAAGCCCTGACCACACATACTCGTAGCAGCATTTAGTGTGGGGCACTTCGACGCTGGGCCCTGCCCTTTCTCTATAAAGGGAGAGGGTCTCTTTCCATAGAGAGAGAGTGGGGCACCCTGTCCAAATTGCTCGCGCTGATGCACTGCGATGGGTACGTCTGGTCAGGTCTTGAGAAGAATATACCTTCTTAGTGCACGAATGGTTTCTCAACCAAAAACTCTCAAACATTTTGCTTTACACTGCAAGTGTGTTTCCCTTTTCTTTTTTGAAGTTAAGTCGCACGAGCAGCACAAAGACTTTTCACAGGATGCAGCTATGCCACATGAAAGATCTGGAAAAAAAAGAAAAAAAAAAGGCATCTCTAATGTGCACAGCAAAGCGCATAGATATGGCATTGTAGCGAATTGGTGCAGTTGGGCCACCACAACAGTGTAAGTAAATTCGTGTTAAATCTTGAAGAAAGGTAAAGCTAAAGTAATCAACTATATATCTGTAATTCCTCATTTACTTTTCTAGAGCTGCACATGACCATTGTAACCGGTTACATTTTAAATGAAGTAATTGTAATCGGTTACTTATTTTCTGTAATGTGTACATGTCTGGGTAGAATGCCCTCACGATATCATGCTTGTGTAACAGCAGTGTGGATATCTGGATGGGATGGTTGACCGGTTGGATGTTGACTACATTGGGTCACAAGCAAACTTGCCCTCCGAGAGGCTTGTGCACACTGTGTACACACTGATGGAACACGCTGTGGTTCACTACAGCACAAGATGATCAAGTGTAACTAGATCCATAATCTGACTGATTGCAGTGGTGAACAAAACTTGGAAGTTGTGCATGTTTAAAAGGATTTATCTTTGCACCTATGCCTTTCCCATTCACAGCCAAGTGGCTTCGGTGGCACTATGTTCTAGTGGCAACACAGGCCTACAAATTTTCTTCTGCATGGCTGCCATTGCCTGTAGGCTGTGCTGCACAATACGTCTGAGAATATTTTTAGGGTTTAGTATGACACTTCTGCATTAAGCCAATATTATTAGGTATACACTTCTGCATGAAGCTTTCTTTGAGAAAGAGCCATGAAAAGAGATGAACAGTTTTTGACTGGCCTATATATAAAAAAAGAATTGCTAATATAACTAATTATTACATTCTAAGGTGTAACACTTACTTTGATAATCATTATATAAAAAACAAGTCACTACTTCATAAGTGAAGTAGTGACTTTTTTGGCAATCTTTTCCATGGTATGTACATACTCTCAGAAAAATATTCAGATGTTTACTAGTAGTGATCATTTATTTTACAACCAAACTAAAGAGCGAATTAGATTTGAGACTGGATTCTCAAGCAGTACTTCTACTCACCTGCCCTATTTGCTTAGCTGGAAAGGTGGACTCTCTGTTGAAGGTATTTTTTCACATGTCTGCGGTTCGTACTGAGAATAATATGTGCATCGGTGACCATGGCACATGACATGACTTGGATTAACAGCCTTTCTATTTTCCTCGTTTTCTTCATAATACTACCTGGGGTTTCATGTGGCGAAAGCATATAGATACGATGCTTAGGCACGCTGCATTGGAAGACTCTGAAACATTTACCAATCAGCCGTCCTCCAATGCGTGCAAATATTGTACAATACACGAGCCTCCAGCATTCCGCACCCATCGAAATGAGACTGCCATGACTGGAATTGAACCCACGACCTCTGGGTCACTAGCACAGTTGTTTTGTTAATAAGGATCAAAGAAACATGCAAGAAGGCTCACCAAATTTTATTACAAAAACTTCTCATTTATAAAAAAACTATATACAGTATATAAAACAAAGTGCACCCAGTTCTTAAAAAAGATAAAAAAATACATTTATACTGTGACCTTAACAGCCTTTATTTCTATCAATATTTTGGGCAAGTTAGTAATATAGCTTCCATATGACTGACCATCAAAAAGACATGAACAAGACATAAATTTGGTTGAAAGTTCACGCTGGGTGTTTCTTCGCTCTTGTCCATGTCTCTCTCATTGTGCAGTCGTACTGAAGTTATGAACTTAGCAGCATAATTGCTGTGCATTCAGGAAGGTTACATAAATACACCACATGTTTGAAAAGACACGTAAAACTAGCTTTACACTATATACAGCAAGATTTGTGTAGAAGGAAAACGCAAGATAGAAGAGAACACAAGAAAAGTAATTAACCAAGCACCCAAAATGCATACATTTGCACGAGAAAGTGGAATGGAAGTACAGGTAAATAAGATTGTGCGCATTGAGAGCAGGTAGAAATGCACATACATAAACAGAGCAAATGTATGTTGTTAATACATAAAAACGCCTATACATGAACTGGTTTGCTTCAAGCAACAACTACATTACAGAGAAACATGACATCCACTAAAACAATGGCAAGTAGCCAATAAAAGAGAACTGAGACGGAATTCAAATATTTTCAGATTGTTCAAAATAAAAACACAGGTGTTGAGAACCCTGAAAAGATTAACATGGTGTCTAAGAATGCATTATGTTTTTAATACCCCTATCCTGAGACGACATTTTCCGTTTCGATATGAAGAGATCATTTCACAACGCCTTGATGACACAGTCTGACATTACGGGGAAATGGAAATTCGCAACATACTAGCAGCAGCTCTGTCATCTGCTTCTAGTCACATACGGTGCACGTAAACAACTATTTTTATGATTTTAGGCTGCATGCAGGCCGCATAGTTTGCAATACCATAGAACTGTGTTGACTCGTGATAATGTCCATTGCAGTAGGGCTGGCTGCACATATGCTAGGCGGTGCAAATTTCATTATCGAAGTAGAATAAGTTACACATGTTTGCCCAACTCCGGCGTGTGCAGAGCATTAACAGTGCACAATTCCTTGCATAGGTCTGCAAACTCACTCCCGAGGCCCCTCACTCAGGCTCAGATTCCGATCGAGCCGACACTCTGAGTGAATAATGTTTTCGCAAGTCTGCGTCCGAGTGAGTCCAGTTGAAAATTTTCCTGAGTGTACATCTGAGTGAGTCTGGCTCCAGAAAATTTTTGCAAGTCTGAGTCCGAGCGAGTCCAAAGCGCAAATTATATTTCTCAAGTGAGACTGAGTGAATTCCAAGTTCTTTTGCCGACTTAGGTTGTATCTAGTCATCTTCAGCATTACTGTAAGCCTCACCTGGATTTACATTTATACCTGCATCTACTCACAGGTACTCCAAAGCAGTGTGTTGTTCATATGGCGTTTCAGTATTTGTTAATTAGAGGCGTGAATTACGTAGAGGGGTGCCTTGACCTCCCTCCAGCAACTCTTCCAGAAAATTTCTTGATTATTACAACTTACGCTGTTATCTTTTGCAAGAAAAATGGCGTTACTGGTTTGGAAGCACTTGGAACTCGTTTTTGAAGCTACTATGCTAATCGGCACCAAGAAGAACAGCGATTACGCGAGATATAGGTGTTAAAAAGCATTGTCACCCTGGCTTAATAAGCCAATTCTAGGCTGACGAACTCACGAGTCAACTCACTCGGAATCGCTCAGACTGAGATCGAGCCATGAGTCTGAGTGAGCACGGGTGAGTAATGTTTTGGTGAGTTTGAGTCCGAGTGAGTCCAGCAGAAGAAAATTTCTGTGAGTGTGAGTACGAGTGAGTCTGGCTCATAAAAAGTTTCGCAGGTCTGAGTCCCAGTGAGTCCAAAGCTCAAAACTTATCCCATGAGCGAAGTTTTGCCGCCCTATGCCAAGAAAACAAAATTGTCCCTTTCACGATGCTGAAAAATTATGTCAGCATTCCTTTAAAAATCCAGGGACAGTGATAACAAAAAAACCCATGCTTGATTTCCCAAAATCTTTTTTTAAATAGTCACCATTAATTACAGGGCACACCCACAGAGAACTGCTCATACCGCTAACAAAATATAAACAAATATTGAGATATTGTTCTTCTACATACCGCTGAAAAAAAACTTTAAAGATATTTAAGCTTCAAGAAGAGAACACGATAGTGCAATCACGCTCACTTTGCATTTCCTAGCCCCACTTCGCTCCTTTGTGGACACCTTGACCGTGCCAGGAGCAATGCATGCAACATTGGCAGTTTCAAACTACAGCTGTGTCAATAATTGTATCCGCCCCTAAGTAGCACCCTTGCACAAGGTTTTTAAGGATATTGTCAATAACATTAAAAATAATGAACATAAAAGTAGAATCCAAGCTCACATACACTATACTTTTTCCTTTAACACTGTCAGCCTTTGAGTACCTCCTCTCCATACAGTGGCTGTCACTAAAACGAGGCAGTTGGAATTGGGAACTCCCAGCACTTATTGCTGAACTAAGTTTTGAGAATATAAATATTAGTATCCCAAGACACAGTAAGACGTACTTTTGTAAGCAGGTTTCTTTTTCTTTTGTTCTTTGAGTGTGCAAGAGAATGCCCACAACATCACCTCACTTGATTAAATCATGATCATTCTAAAATCAAAACATTCTAAACTTACAACCTGTGATACAGTTGTGCGATAGCCAAAGACGCTAAGACAACCGAAGATACTAAATGTAAAATATTCTCATATTTATGCTTGCATTCCAATTTTACAGCAGCAAGCAGTTAGGAATGGTGCTCAGCATTTGAACAACCACTAGCGTTATATGGTTAATCAAAACTCTGATTTTTTATTTACGTTTATTTCTTAAATACTACATGTGATCCAACTTTCACTTGTTGCCAATTGCTTTCTTACCTACACAACAACTAAACAGGTATTTACGTTTACCGGGTACAAAAATTCGAACCTTACATTTGCTACATACATACACACTCTTTACAACGACCATTGAAGTATTGAAGAAAAGCACCAGAGAACCATATTTGGTTTAATTGGTTGTCAATTGGCTGAATGAGTATGAACATATTTTTGTTAACAAGGCCAATTCAGATTGCAAGGCACAGGCCTGCACAGGCCTGCACAGGGCACCAGCGAAATGCTTTACTCTGCAAGTTCAGACAGGCTGGGTCTGTTCAAGAAGGTCCTGCAAGAAACAACATATTATCATGTGCTGAAAGGACCACTTACATGCACAGCGTAATCAGTACTGCAATTAGATTATAAAGATAAACCTACCTATAACAAACCTCTACACAATGAATTCCCAGATATTACCAACTAATTTTATTCCCCTTTGTTACTTCATAAAAGCACATACAATTGCAACCTCTATTGGTGAATTCCAATGTTAAAGCGGGAGCAAGTTTTTTTGATTTGCAGCCGAGAATCTGCATTCTACTGGTAGATTCAGAGCAAAGTTGCGTTTTCCACTGGCAGATTTGGAGCAACCCACTCCGCGACGGAGTGTTCTGCGTGATCCATATTGAAGAGACGGATTTCACCAGAGCTCCGAGAATGCGTTGCAGTCATTTCCGGTAGAGCCGGTCAGCTAGGTTGTTTACAGCATTTTTTTTTAGGCTGTGTCTAGACACCCTGTCCACTTGTCCACATTGTTAAAATAGTTTCGTTTGACTCCGCTGGATGTGCTACTGCTGATAGCCGTCTCGCTTTGAGCGACAGCGAGAGGACTAGTTCTGCTAGCAGCAGCAGCAGTGAGGACGATGAGGCATACGTGCTATATGAAATGGTTTGTAAGGAAACGTTTCCTGGCCAACAGTGTATAAGGCCGAAGATTATTGCTTACTTCGAAAAAGCTTCCAGTACCGGTTTTGTGACGTATGCATAAACAACTTCCGGAGTGACCTCACACAGGGCATTCACATGTTCCACTCGCAGATCTGGCTTGGCACAGTTTGAGTGCTCGCTCCAGAACTTCGGCGGCCGCTCCGGATCAATCAGTGGAATTCGCCATATGTAACAAAGTTCCAGTGGGAGACACTCTTGATATATAAGTAATGAATTATCACCGCCAGCAATCTAGGACCTACGTCACAAATATTGTCATTTTTGATCAACCATGCAACTTCTACGGTTGCCTTGCCAACGACGAAACACGAAGCCCCGGCAACAGCAAGGCAAGAGCAATCGCTTGTTAGTGCACGCAGGTGTATGCGAGACTGGCCAGCATCTCTCGAGCCTACTTGACCTGGTTTTGCTGCAGTTCTTGCCGCCGCACATGCCCGAATGTGCCCTCGTCCCTCCATTAAAACAAAAAACAACTACTGCTTTTGCATAGGCAGCAACACCTTTCGGTTGCTGCCGAAGTCTATGAACCGCACTTTGTTAAACTGACAACAGATGATGCTAATAAAAATTTTCCTCCACGCTATCATGCTTCGAGTTCGCACCGCAGAGCCCTTCTCCAAACAGTATTGTGTGGTATCCATGTCGTCAGCTCTCTGTTTTCGATGGCATTCGAGCATGCGTTGACTAAATGAGCGCACCGTGTGGCCCCCTGATGACGTTCAGCTTTGCAATATTTTTTTTTGATGCGAAGAATCGCTTTGTTGCTATGGAGGAGGTGTCAGGTTAGCGCTGGTGGAAGCTGTCCATGACCCCGCTGGACGACAGATCTACAGATCTTCGGAGGTCAAAGCTGTCCGTCCGTGACCCCGCTGGACGACAGATCTTCGGAGGTCGACTCGTCAAGTGCTTTGCCGTCTTGCACCTCTCGACCCGCTGCGCGTTCGCTAGTCCATAGACTTCGCGATTAGCTGGAGCTAATAATGACAAAGCCCGCAACAAAAAAAAAAAAAAAAACACAATTGGCAGGCAATTGACACTGAGTGCTGATTTTTCTTTACCATCGCTAGACAGAACTGATCATTAATAGATCGGATATTGGTGGCCACTATTCGTGGTGGACCGTTCTCGTCCTGAAAGTATGCAAAGCGATGTTTGAAGATGGAAGTTATTGAATTTGGGATTTCTGTTATTGGAAAGTACGTTGTAAAGATGTCCTGACCATCTTGCTAGCCTCACATTTTTGTCAATTATATCCTAATGTCTGTTACGCCAGAATGTGTAGTAAATGAAGCACAATAAGTGGAACAAATAGGAATGTCGGCGTAGCAATGTTAATTTGCAGTTTCAGAATGTCTGTTGCAAGCAGATATGTTGTAACAATGTTACACTCTACATAGCAGTATATTGTGACATTTTAGCTGTTTCTTGCGAAAATGAACCGGGCAGTCTCTGATGCAATGCACTGCTGCAATGCTAAAGTACTTCTTTCACAGACTATGCGTTCTAGATATATCCAACTCGAAGAGTATTGCAAGATAGTTTGAAATCTTGACAACTCGAAATAAAGAATATGTATATTAAAAGCTTAAATCAAAGCAGCACAGGCCTCAAAACACTTTTCAAGATCGTTTGATATATCTGAGATCGACTGTAAACAGAAAGTCATGAGTATAAGGAGCCTTTTGGTAGGAAAAAGCAACTCACAGGTCCTCGAGAGGTGCGAGCGATGCCGCAGTAGATGACTGTATCAGTGCTTCTGCGGCACCACTGCTGGCGATGACCGCGACGACTGCCTGGGAGACTGTTTTCATAAAGACCTGCTCCACCACGCTTCCGGATACAGTCAACTCTGGTGTTAGCAAGCAAAAAAAAAAAGACATAGAATGATTGTGAGCTCATTAAATTAACGGTGTTCATGCTGAGATTAAGTGGCTCGAGAATGCATGACAGACAAGAATGACTAAAGGTTGGAGCACATGCAGCAAGGCTGTGCATGCTCCGTGCTGAGATGACAATGATCATAACGACTAAGCGCACAGGGGCTCGTAATCTTGCTGGTGGTAAGCAGTAACAGCAATAATAATTTCAGAGATCTTATGAGCCAAAACTGGTTATGAGGCATACCATATAGGTGGACTCAAATGGCACAGCACACGGGCTCTAGCATTTCACCTGCCAGGATCGAAGACCCAACTTTCGGGTCAGCAGCTGAGCGCCATAACTACTAATCAGCCCTCAATGCAAAGAACAGGCAAGCCAATATGGCCGGTTTCTTTATATGCATTGTCTTAATGTGTGCATGGTGATGGCTGGTGCACAACCACAAGTTTTTTTTTTAATAATACTCATTGAGGTATAACACGACGCAGTCTTTTCCCCCAAGGTGGGCTATAGGCACGAGAAATTCCATTTAAAATAGTCACCGTATGGGTTTTTCATTCCAAGTCCAGAAGTTTTTCTTACTCAAGTACATAAACTGTCAGGAACAACGTGCAGTTCAGTCTGACTGTCAGGCCAAATCAGACATTTTACTGAAAGCACCACCTTGATGTTAAAGCTGAAGCCGATTTAATGAACAAAGATAATGAATTATTACCAGTAGATAAGTAGACGAATTTTCGGTTGGCCATGCTTAAATATAAATAGTACCCTACTGCCTGCTATAAAACTGAATACGCAAGACCCAGGACAATACAGGCAACAGCCAAGTGAATAAGCATTTGTTTGCTCACAGCCTAACAATGTTCTAACGAAAATGTCTTCTACGAAGCAAAAGAAAATTGGACACGTGTTTAGGCTTAGTGTATGCTTTGGCTGCCCCATCGCCATAACAATGATCCCATACGACAACATTGACAGCAAGATGAAGCGTTAAAATGGCACAACTCAACATTCAGTAATTAAGCGTTGGTCATGCAATATTAAATGAACCATCAAATGAACACCATGTCAATTAATCAGAAGGCATAAACTCGATTGCAAGTTTTCTAAAACCAATATATGCATTTAAATTTAATTTCCGTGTAGAATATATTTATTTAGCATGTTTTCATTTCCATTTTGATGTCATGCGTACTTAGTTTGACTGCAATAAATATACAATGGCGTTCCTTGCACATGCATGAACTCGCCTAGATTTTGATTCCTATGCAGCAAGACCTAGTCAGACACAGTTTCAGTAAAAATTACCATAAAAGAAGAAAAAAATTTACAGAGAGGCCAGACAAGTTTCTCAGCAACGAAGAGCGATGTTAATGTTAACTATGATTCAAGATGTAGAGTACTTACCCTCTACTTCGCCCTCATTCTCAAAAGACCCGAGGAAGGGCAACATCATTTCCGATGGCTGTAGTTTGCCTCCTGAAGGCTTGGAAAATGCCCTACAATGCCAAGTTCATGTTTCAACTCGATTCTTAACTAGACTTTTAAAAACTATTTACACACAAAGACACACATGCCATCTTGCATTTGTACTGCTATTCCTAATCTATAGCAATAACAGTTAAAGGTAAACTCCAGCGATTTTTCGAGATCAATAAATCTCAATTAAATTCGCTGGGTACGTTCCTTTACACTTTTCCATTTCCATAATTCATGCCAAATTACAGGCTTGAGAGGTGTACTGATTGTTTGCAAATAAATCATAAAGATTGCCTTGAAACGCTTACTGGCTTGCCATAATTACTGATAACATTGTCTTTGTGACGTCATGTTTGGCATGCCAACGAAAGTGACGCAGCTGATGGCATTGCTACTGTGACTGCTGCAGCATTTATTGTGCTGGCCACAAGGGGATGGCAACGGTGCTTGGCATAAAAAAAAACTTACTTCCTTTCCCTGTAGCCTTTGGCTGGTGCCTCACTGGTCTTCTTTCAGTTTTCACACCCCACGCCAGCAGGACCAGTATACGCCTTCCAATTTTTACCAAATAGTACGTCATACGTAGACCTGACGCTCAGTTGCGTTTCGGTTTCAGTATTGCGCCTTAGTGCAATAACAATTATATGAACACTCTCAGCTGGATTTTGCCGCCGGCGTCGGCATCGCCATCACTCACTGTATAATACGTGTCTATTTATATGAAAATGCAAGAAAGAAAAATTATCCAGAAAAAGATTCCGGCTTGTGGAATCAAACGCAGGACCTCTGAATTGTGAGTGCTAGACGTTAGCCACTGAGCCATGAAGGAGCACCTCCTTCAAAGTTCTAACGGCAAGCTATTTATATCTACCACTTACCGCTGGTAACGGCATCTCTGGGGAAACAATCGCACTTTCAGCATTACCAGCAAAGATGGTGCAATGAGCGCGCGTCGCCACAGCGTCACGATGAGGCGGCAAATGCTCTTGTCTCCCATGTGTACTTTGCCCCACAGGGAGGGGGACAGGGTGGACGCTCACGCATGCGCTTATTTCGCAATGAGGACAATTGTACATTTTGGCTGGCCTTGGGCCTTTACCAGAACGATTCTGTTGTAGTTACCGGGTGCACGAATGTCACTGCAATCGTTGCACAGTCTCTGTTTGCTAAAAGGGTGTGCTTTTCAGACACAGCAAAGTAACAACTAAGACGCTTATTCGCGTTCATCTGTACCTGTGAGTAAGTTTGGTGCATGAGAAATGCGAGGCACGTTTAGATCTGCTTGCCATTCTGCGTGTGACTTTACAACTTGTTGCTGTCGCTTTCATTGCTGTGCCTTTGCAGCAAAGCTGCGACTTTTTTGAATTTCCAAAGCATTCCAGCTAATGGGCTTGTGACAAGAGTGTCTCAGGAACATAAAAACACCATTACTATGACATGGTCAAAGATCGCCAGCATTGGCCATTGAAGGACCACTCACCAGGCCCCATAACAAACTTTAGTTAGACTATGGCAGTAGTTGTGTGTCTGATGAACATTATGCCGAGGCGAAAGCATTATGCAAGGAATCGAGCTAGAAACCTTTGCCACTCGCCCCACGTAGCCTTTACAAGCCCACTCTCTTCCCTATCCTCTCCAGTATCCTAACAAACATCACGTGTGCATGACATTTACGAGCAAGCCCAACCACGAGGACTCGAGCGAAGTTGTTTTGTTGACCAGTGCTGTTTTTCAGTCTAGTGCTTGTTTCTCTGGGATGGATTGCCTCGGTGCGCACTCGTTTGGAGACGCTGGTTTAACCCACCAGAATAGATGAAAATATAGAGTGCTCGAACGCGTAGGACCACTAATTTCTTTTCCAGGGCTGACGTCTGCTCCATGCGCTAACTGCGGGGACATGAGCGCATGTGAAACACAGGCATATTAGCCCCGCATCTCGTTGCAAACTCACGGCAAAAAAAAAATTAATTGAAAATAAACAAGACGGGCTATTCCCTTTTCGTGTTTCATTATTTTATCAAGTTTTATTCATGCAACAAATTACACAATCTACACATTTCCCATGAAATAAATTTCACCATGTCACATGCTACTATTGGCCACATCGGAGCACATTTCTCTACGTAGATGACCAATGCCACAGCACCACCGTCAACATAGGGCGATTCCTACGTGTACGTCCTGCTCTCATTCTCCAGGCACTTGCTCGAGAAAGGAAAGGAAAGCGACGTTCAACTTGAAATTTCGACCCATTTCCGCGACGCCAAGTGCTACAAATTTTGGCAGACGTGATCGCGAACGCTACATGTATGCATTGCACTCGCCAGCTCAAACTTGTCAGACCTGGTGAGTGTCCTTATAAAGGAATGAGCTCACTTGTACATTATACGCATGAACCCGGCCCCATTTGATTGATTAAGTGTTGAACAGTGCCATCTGCATCAGTAAATGTTCAGGACAGCATTCCCAGAGTAAGATTCGATTGCCGGACAGAAATCGAAGTGCACCGGTGAACTGTAACCACATGAGATATAAATTATGATTTGATTTATAGAACGTCTCGTATATCTTTTGAAAAATTTTCAATTTTTCAGATTACTTGCATGAAGCTTGCCCCTGACTAACCCTCAGTAAAATGATCAAGGGCGTCGTGACAAGAGCCACCACTTAGCCATTATTATCTGACACGTACCATGATTTAGCCGATCATAACACTGGCAAACACTAACCAATGATAATATACCAGCATATAATCAAAGCGAACATGCTGGTCTTGAAGAAAGTGCACTGGTCTACTTTCTTTGTGCGCCAACTGTTTCTCGTTAGGCAATCAGGCTGTTGCTACAGCATTTTTTAACCCAGAAACTATGCTAAAGATGTCTTGGGAATTATAAATAAAAGACTTGCCTTTTGGCTGCTTGCCGAAGTGCTTCAAAGCCAAACAGCACCCGGATGACAGATAGTGTGCCAACTTGCCCTCCAGCACACAGCTGTGCGTCGATGGCTCCAAACTCGTAGGTCAATGACACCGTCTGCATAATTAATGTCTTGCCCAATGCAATTTACACAGAACCTTATTTACAGCAAAACACACACAACAAAAAATGCTCATTGGTAAGGAACAACTATGAGAAATATTAGAATGAATAGAGCTATTTTCGGAGGCAACCTGTTTTGGAAGTGGAGCCAAGGCTACCAGTGCGGGGCTTGCACACAATCGTGTTGCTCCGTAAGTAATGAGAAAGGTTGTGGCTGATTTACATTTTGCTCGTTCGCATTACAAGCAAGGCTAAACCTGCTCATAACGAACCTCCATATAAGGAATTCCTTGATATAACAAAGGTTTTTTATTCCCCACCGTACTCCATCGAAGCACATGTATTTGCAACCTCTATGTAACAAAGTAATGGTGGAAAATAACCTTGATATCACGAATTTTCCCCACAGACAACCTAGGCATTTCGCCCCAGATAATGTCATTTTAGCACATTTACGGTTGCCCCGCCGTACTCGTGGCCCCGACGACTGTTAGGCAAGAGCGTGCGCTCATATTGCGCACCGGTGTGCGCGAGGCGGGCAGGCGGGCCTGCGCCCCACGAGTTGGCGTTGCCGCCATTCTTGCCGCCGCAGGGGCATGCGGGTATAAGCTCCCCCTTTAAAAAAAAAAAAAAAAAGAACTGCTTTTGAGTTGGCAATGCCACGTTTTTAGTTAGCATTACATATGTGGGGCTGCACTGGATAGCAAGGGAGCTTTACCTAATAGTTTTCCGCAGTATCCATGTCGTTCGCTCTTAGTTTCACTCTGTGCACACATTATTTTTTCCTTTTTTTTTTAATGCAGACAATCGTGTCGTCACTGCTGACGGGATTTCAGATTAGGCACAGATGGAAACCCTCCAATACCACGGTGACAAGCACGAATCTTCAAAGGTTGACTCGTCACGTGTTTCTGTTTGCGCCACGATTTCAAGGGAAAAAGCACTTCTTCCTGGAGCGGCCCTAACTGCTTAAACCAGTGCATTGTAGAATTTCTGCGACATCAGATCCAGAAGGGTTGGCTGCCAGCCTTACTTCTTATACCATTACCATTTATTGCTCTCGCATTCATTGCATTGCATTCAATGCGTCGTTGTGTTGTTGCCAGAGCTAATTGGCTAATTGCGAAGGCTACAGTCCTTGGAACTCGAACCGCAAACGGAAACGCGTGATGAGTCGACCTCCAAAGACGCATAGTTGTCACCTCGGTCTCGGAGAGTTTCCATCAGTGCCTAATCTGACATACCCTTGGTAGGGATGACACGGCTGTCCACATTAAAATAATAATGACAATAAAAAAACCCCCACAGCTGAACTTGGTTGAGGACCACACTATGCGCGCGCAGTGAAACCATGCACGCGCGCACAGCGTTGAAAATGAAGAGCGAACGACACGGATACCGTGAAATATTCGGTAAAGCACCCCTTATATTTAGCCCGGCCCCATAGAGTATGTGACACTAACTATAAGCATGGCACTGCCAGCGTAAGTTTTTTAAATTTATTTGGTTCGGAGGGGGAGAGCGCATCTGCGCATGCACCCGTGGCGGCAAGAATGACGGCAATGCCGACTGATGGGGTGCAGGCCCGCCTGCCCGCCTCGCGCACATTTGCATGCTATAGTGAGTGTTTTATTTCACCTGGAAGTTGTTGGGGCCACGAGCAAGCCGCCAACGTTTCGCGCTACGTCGGCGGAAAATGCATGCTGGTACCAAAGTTCCGAAATTCGGGGTGAAATTCCTAGGTTGTCTGAGGTGAAAATTCGTTATATCAAGGTTGTCTCCTGCTGTTACTTTGCTTCTATGGAGTAATGGCTGAAAATAGAAAAACTTCACTATATGGAGGTTCATTAAAAGAAGGTTTACCTGCACTAGTAAGCGTGCACTCTTCTGCTTTCTCCCGTGGTGAACGTTACACACTGAAGAACTCCACACTGAAAAGCTTGGCGGCGGCATCGCTCCAGTTTACTTTGGCAAACCTTATAATAATGAATTTAATTTCACTGCATACATAATTGTTACAGCCCATCGCAAGTTAACAATAAAAATGCGACAGACTAAAAAGTGAAGCATGAACTTTCAAAATCAAGCAGGTGTGCATTACGACGCGAATGCAGAAAACGGGAGAGAACAGTTGGCGCGGCAGGCTCTCGCATGCCCTCGATGCAGAAAGAAGTCCGTGCTATGCATTGACCGATCCGTCAGCAGGTTTGGGTGCTAGGGTAAGCCACCCTAGTTTGGGTACGGCATTCTAGGAACCGCAGTTCAGGGGAAGTCCTAGGAAGAAAGGACTTCGCACTCGCAGCCCAATTTATGTCTGTGCAACCAATACCTTTTTTTTATTACTTTTGAAATTATGATGTTCGTTTACTCAGCAGCACAAGGCAACTGAAGCTGTAGGGGTACAATCATGGTTACGACCGTAACCTGAAACTTCGGATACAATGATTGAACCATTAACTGCTGTCGTGCATGTTTGCACAGCTCCCTGTTAACATATGTCGTGGCATTCATGCATGCAACCTTTAGGGAAAGTGCAGCTAGTATATTTGGAGTTTTTCCGCTAGAATAGTTGGACCATTAATTCAGGCACGGCAACATGAGTGATCAATTACAACAATCCAAACTTGTTTGTTCATGTATAAAACACAGGCAGACTTAACCTTCTATAACACATCGTTAAAATGCCCTATCAGAGCACAGAAAAAGAGCTGTACAAGACCCTGATTTTTTTAACAGATAAAGTAGGCAAGTGGATGAAAAGAGTTCTTGTTTTCCCCAAAAACATTTATGTTGTCTATGCTTATAATATACCATATTTTCTCACACATAACCAACACCTTCATATAGCCCACACTGGCCCCTACAAGCCATATAAAAATAAAAAATTGGAAAAACAGAGAAAGATTCCCACGTATCAGTCTGAAGCCCCATTTTTAGCATTATTATCACATAATGCTGTGAAGCCAAACTACGCATTAAAATTTTCACGCGGTTGGTATGAACCTAACAACACCCATTTATTTACCTACTCTTAGATTGACAATGTCGTCAGCCAAATTAATACATGAATTGTGATCAATACGCCATAAAACAACCTTACACAATATTACACAACACTCAACAACATAAACACAAGAACCCACACAAGGCACCTTCGCCAACGCTCGACTTACCACGAGGGCCCACTACAGATGGCCCGCAGTGCCGCCTGTACGTGGCAGACCCACCACTAGAGACAACCATTCCTGCCAACCACCACCCGCCAAAGAGACCCGCTTCTGTCTCCTGTGCCGCCACCTAGGCTTTCTGCCAGGTGTCACCACCGGGACTACACACTAATCATGATAATGACAGTGGCAATAAATTATCGCGAGCACAACGCCACCTACCGCTCGATAGTTGTGAACACAAAATGCGCCCCATGTGTGAGACACGTACACCATGAGGCACAAACAACTTTGCAGGGGGTGTTAGCACCCCCACATCTCCCCAACCTTAATTGAAACCATATCCCGAAAGAAAAAAAAAAAAAGACAGAAAAGAAATCAGCTACACAAGCTCTAACAATAGATAACACATGTCCCTGAAGAATGTCCGTGCACCACGACCCGGCTGCCGGTCGACACTGCTGCACAGTCCTGCTCGACGACTACACCTCAGTGTCCCGCAACGGCAACATTGCCGTCGGCTATAGAAATCGTCACTGGCGCCGACACGTCTTCTGGTTGCGACCAGCAGTTACGAGGGCATCGAACTGCAGGCAGTTGCGCAGGCCCCAGGCATGCCATTACCTGATCTCGCAACCGCATTCCTGGCCAACGGTAAAGACAGATGTCCAGAAGACAGCCAGCCAGCCGCAGGTTACTTCACTCCGGACTCAAAACACTTGACGGAACAATGCAGTACGGCATAGGGGAGCGAGCTTCGGGCTCCTCACCCGCAAGGTATGATGGTCAGTACTGCGAGCTAATACATCAGTGGTGCCAGAGACGCCCAGCTAAAATAAAACAAAGGTTGTTTTCTTAACTCGTGCATTGTAAGATAAATAAAAGTGAGGAAAGCAAAGTGCAACACCTCGACGCCACGATCCACCTAGATGTGCCAGGTGCACCAGGCGGCTGCGCAGAGCCTTAGGCCTAATGAGTCACTTGACAACCACCGCCATCTACCCAGCACCCAGCCTAGGCGCAGAAGAGGCAGCCGCAAGGAGACGTCCACTCTATAAAGTGGCCGTACTCGTTCGCGGCACACAGAAGCTTACCGAGCGATCGGCGTCCACCATTCCGGACAATGTCACGACCCCCCAGCGTCGAGCTGCAAGACAAGACGGACAGACGACCCACTTTCGCAGTCCAAAGAGATGCAAGAAGCTATTAACGAAAAATCAGACCACCCACGAGGCTTCCGTACTCACTCGCTTCGGGCTTTGCCTACAATTCACGTGCTCTAAGCTCTGCTCACCCCAGGACGCACACCACATGGCCCTCGTACCAAATGAACAGCGTCCTTTAGAAACCAACAACAACACAAAAAATGCCTACGAGCAAAAAAAAAACCTCAATGGGCTGACAAGTTCAAACACGTCACAACAACCAATTTCCTCGCTCTCAACAAAGCACATTGCCGATGCTAGCAAAAGTGACCCTAGGCCTACTCTACCCCGGCTCAAACAAAAGGTTGCATCGAACTGTGAAAACTGTCGTCTGACGCTCCAAGAGCTCCACGTTGGACGCCAGTGTGAATCTCAAAATGAGAAAGAGCACCAAGCTCTTAAAGTGAACGAACACAGTAGACATGGTCGGAACGAACCAAACAATACACATTTATTTAAGGGAAGATGCAGGTCGAAAAACGAGTTTTTTTTAAATTACCGATTTTTATTTTCGCCTGTTTTGATAAGATTAGTACCTCTACTGTCAAAACACGTTGGTGGGCTAGTTGGTTTGAATCCATTAAGAGTGAGTAAGCGCAAAACAGACAAGGACGTAGAAGAG